CTATGCTGACGGTCGCAATGCGACAAAGTCTGTTCCTCTGTTCTATCCAACCGCTGATCTCCATATGCTTCTGTCATTACACAACTCTGGCCAGGAATTCAAGTTGATGTTCCTCCGTTTCAAATTTCTTTTGACTGTATCTTTAAACCGTAGTCGGGGTCTGCCTCTCTTCCTACTACCAACTGGAAGCTGTGAGAACAGGATCTGTTTTGGAAGTCGGTCTTGCGGCATCCTCATGATGTGCCCTGTCCATCGAAGGTTCTTTCTGATCAGCATGTCTTCCATGGGTGTTAATCCAGTTCTTTCAAGTATTTCCTTGTTGGTAACTTTGTCTTTCCAGGTTACTTTTATGATGGTTCTAAGGTGCCGCATCATAAAAGCATGAAGCTTCTTCACATGGCTTCTGTATACCGTCCACGACTCGGCTCCATACAAGAGAGTGGATATGACAATGGCTCTGTATATCTTTCCTTTCACCTTCAATGAAACATGATGGTTGTTCCAGAGTCTCTGATGTAATCTGCCAAAAGATGAACTGGCCTTAGCAATTCTTCTCTGTATTTCGGCATCAATACGCCCATCTTTCGCTGCTGTGCTACCAAGATAGGTGAACTCTGGGACAGAATTTAGTTTGATACCATCGACCAGTATATCCACCTCCTGGGACTTTGAAGAGTCTGGTTGGTATAGCACTTCAGTTTTCTTGATGTTTATCTTTAGTCCAAATTTCTTTGATGCTTCCGAGAAGGCATTTACTATGCGTTGAATTTCCTGTGGTGAGTGGGCAAGTAGGGCACTGTCATCTGCGAAGAGTAGCTCCCTTATCAGTACCTGGATGCTCTTGGTTCTTGCCTTGAAGTGTGTGACCTTAAAGAGGTCTGCATCTTGCCTTGACTGGATGTAGACACCATCTGTCAAGTCTCTGAAAGCTTCATCCAGCATCGCTGATAGGAATATGGAGAAGAGAGTAGGTGCTAGTACACAGCCTTGTTTGACTCCACTTGTAACTTCAAAAGCATCGGATGTTTCCACTCCATCGCTGACTTTGGCCTTCATCCCTGTGTGCAGCGACTCAATCATGGATGTGAACTTATCAGGGCATCCATACATCCTCAGCAGCTGCCACAGACCTGTTCTTCCAACTGTATCAAAGGCTTTAGTGAAGTCTACAAATACAACGTACAGTGGCTGGTCCTGCTCGATACACTTTTCTTGTAACTGTCGGAGGCTGAAGATCATGTCGATGGTGCTCCTATTGGGCCTGAAACCACACTGTGACTCGGGAACTATTTCTGGAGTGACATGCTTGGAGAGTCTGTTCAGAAGGATCCTAGCGAAGACTTTGCCAGCAATGGACAACAGAGAGATTCCTCGATAGTTTCCGCAATCTGACCTGTCTCCTTTCTTGTAGATGGTTACAATACTTGCATCCTTCCAGGCTTTTGGAACTGTGCCTTCATCCCATGCACTGCATATCAGCTGGTGCAGCCTGTCCACTAATTTGGTACCTCCATGTTTCCATACTTCCGCGGGTATTCCATCTTCACCGGGGGCTCTGCCATCTTTCAATCCAGCAATAGCTTTTGTCACCTCGTTCATGGATGGAGTCTCATCAAGGTAGTGTTTGGTGGTCCGCTGCTGTATGTTGTCAAGGGCTTCAGTCTGAATCTCTCCGGGAACATTTAAGAGCTTCTGGAAGTGTTCACTCCATCTAGCCAGAACTTCTTTGTTGTCTGAGATTGTTTCCAGCCCGTCCGCTGACTTCAGTTGTACAGGTCCTTTTTTCTGGGGTCCCCAAACTTCCTTGAGCCCATTGTAGAAAGCCTTCATGTCAGGGCTACCTCACTAGATAACATACAAATGATTTATTGCATGCCATCCAGAGCAATTAGGGTAAGTGTCCCGCCAAAGTACACAACTACGACAGTACAGATTGGTCAGTTTCCCAGCCTCCAGGGAAACACAAACCGCCATGTGTATCTGGCATTGATATTCTTACCCTGACAAATTGAAATTAACAACATCACCACGTTTCATAACTTATCATGTTAGTACATGTATATGTATAATATTCTGAATTAGGCAATGTTTCAAATCACATAGTATAAAAATTGTTAATGGCTTGGTGGTTATTTATCAAATTAACATACCTCTTTCACAATAGGAGGAAGATTTCCTATGTAAACTTCCACAAGTCTTTGATGTTGTCCTGTAGAATATATTGTAAGATTAGTGTGAGAATAATGTTTGCATAACCACATGACTATCACAGGTACAAATATTTTTATCACATATCTGGATATGATGACCAAAATTTCCAATTTTCTATATACTCCTAATTGCTTATATGACCTACTATTTTGAGATCTTATGCAAAATAATAATTGAATTGCCTCACACATCATAGAAGGAAGGAATCATCTGATTAAAGACTAATATGATGAATCAGGTACAGGATTCTTCCCTAGGGGAGGAAACTAGTGGATAAGTAAGGTATCCAATGTATTCCCCAGGAAGAGAAGTGGCTACCTTATGTTTTCATGGGCAGACTTTCAGCTGGGGGGGGGGGGGGGAATGGAGCAGCAGGACTGCCTGTTACACTGGTAACTAATGTAAATATTTATCAGATCCCTTTTATGAAGGTCCGTGTATAACATTGACCTCGATGCACCCTATTTCGTGCACAGTTTTTTTTGGTATGATTCATTTATAGTGATAAGGATTTCTGATGATAATACAGCTAAATCAGCTAAATTAATTATTACCATCCTTGTAATGATGGCGATCATATACAATCTTAAGACTGAGCTCTTCTCCAAATGCCTTGAGTACTGCAACAGCATGATCCTTCACTGAAAACCGTACATAGATCCACCTAGAATAACAATTACCAGAATGTTGACAACTATTTTACCATACTATATAAATAAAGTTTGACTTACTAAACACGTTTAATATTTGCATGATGCACCACATAATGATATTATTACTGTAAACACCCATGTACCATTATACACAAATTTGCCTTATGTTCATTTTGTCCTCTGGAAATTGTATAAAAGGGTTATATAAGAATAACAAAATTTCGGTCCAATCTCAAACTTACTCTCCCTTTTTATGAATGAAAAGGACCAAAATTAAATGGGAGTGAAAAATATTCTGGTATACAGCATTGATTTTCAATATTCTGTCACACATGAAAATTGAAAAGTGTATGATTATTCATACATTTTATTTTATGATACATACAATTTTTTTAACCATGTATATTCAATAGCAATCCTTCATATTTCCTCAATTCACAAATGAGAGGAAGCATGGTAATTTTCCATGTATATCAAACATTTCCTTGAAACCAAAACTGAAAAAATTTGATCATTCTTTTAAGGTTCTTTGATAACATATGAGTAAATACACAAAACCATTTACCAGTCATCTCCGTCAACCTCTGTAACTTTACCATAGTCGGCAAACTTCTTTTCAATATCCTATTGATAAAAAAGTAAAATGTTACACATATACATCATCACTTAAAACATCAAACACAAGTCAAATAACAAATACCTATAATAATGTAAAGCTTTAATTACATGAAATATATTCAACCTCAGCAGATCAAGTGTAAGGAAGGACACTCAAAACAAAACAAGAATTTCTGAGGAAACAATGGAAGAACTGTGTGTACATGGTTTTCCTCTGTATCCATTATTACACTGACAGTGTCAGTATTGTTATAGTTTGATAGAATATACATGACTGAGAAAAAATTGGCAAACCTCTATAGTCGATCCTTTTTGTTCTTTCTTCTTTTTATACTTCAATGTGTACAGTCCTTTGTAATTTACAGGAAAGTCATCAATCATCTCCTGGGTAATGACAGCTGTTACAACATAAAACAAAACATGATTTCTAACATAACATTAATATAATACAATACATAATGTCTAGCTTAACATTTACATAAAACAATACATAATGTCTAGCTTAACATTTACATAAAACAATACATAATTTCTAAAATAACATTAACTTAAAACAATACATAATGCCTAGCTTAACATTTACTTAAAACAATACATAATTTCTAGCATAACATTAACATAAAACAATACATAATGCCTAGCTTAACATTTACTTAAAACAATACATAATTTCTAGCATAACGTTTACATAATACAATACATAATGCCTAGCTAAACATTTACTTAAAACAATACATGATTTCTAGCATACCATTCACATAAAACAATACATAATTCCTAATATAACTTTTACATAAAACAATACATAATTTTGCATAACATTTACCTAAAATAATACTTAATTCCTTACATGATATAACATTTACTTACTGCAATAGATCATTTACAATATTATTAATTTCTCCATTGACTTTATTTGATTACTTATTCGTACATTAATCATTGATACAAGCATCAATAGCCATAATGACTGTAAAGTTTTAATTATACTTTAGTGAAGAGTTATATGCCCTTTGATTCATCAGAAACATCCATCTTTTCGTGTTGATTCTATTGTGAGTGCCGGGCAATGTTCTACTTAACCATTTTGTCAACAAAAAACAAATTATGCCCTGTTTGTTTATTTCAATCAATACATTTCTCTGGGTTAATATATTTTAGTGATGTTTTAAGATGTTGACTACCTCGCTCAGTATGGTGACTTTTCTTCTCCATCTGTCCATCACCGACTGAGAGCAATTTGGTACTCATGCTTTTATCACATCCTACTGCTGTATCCTGATAACCAATATAAGACATTAATTCACATCCAAACAAATCTCAAACAACTAATGTACACTACACAAGACAAAATTACACTGTAAAAACTGCAACAGAGGTCCTTATCTACTTCAATGTCTCCATTGGGATTCAAACCTGGAACTTCTGGCTTATTCAAAGTCTGATGCTCAACTGAACGAGCATACTCCCCCTTCAAGAAACAACTAATTGGTGGGTTTTCATGGGCTACAGTGATGTCTTTGGGACAATACTAAGTACTATTCCTGAATCCCTAAGGGTGCCAATGTAACAGAGGTCATTAACTATTGTAATGCCTCCACTAAGATTCAAATTTGGGACTTCTTGCTAACTTGTCTAATGCTCAACCGATTGATTTAAAGAGTTCTCTATAGGCGAGTGGTATATTGCGGCTAGTATTTAGTAGGGTTACATAACAAATACATGTTTCAGTCAAGTCAATGTCAAAAAAGATATTTAATTACACCAGTTATATCTGAAACTACATAGGTATATTAGATATAAAAATTTATTTACCGAACCAGTATTTTTGTTGTGTTTTTCACTGTATAGTACATGTATATCTATTTCTTTTGATAAAAACACTGATTATTTCCGACCATAACAATATTTTCTGGAGCATAAAAAGGGGCAGTGTTGGGTACAAGGGGCAGTTTTTTCAAGTAAAACTCTGTATTAAAAAGTTACAACTGCATGTATATCTAACATACTGGTGCCATATCTTATCCTTAGTATATTTCAAGTTCATCAACAGATGTATTTAAATTTCATTTTAATTACCATAACTAAAACTGTACATTACTCACTGAATAAGTAATATTTTAGCATATTTTTTCTAGATAAGTAGTAATTATCAATTCAACCTAATTGTTATTTCAGACATTGAGAGTGTATCAAGCTGTATACACATTAAATAGGTTTTTACTCCATGTATAAGAAATGAAATGTCAAAAAAGGTATCTGTGTTGTGTAGATTATTACTATTATTATTTACTTTTATTTTATTTTGTTTTTGCTTTGTTTTTTGTTTACCATTTTCTTGTTTTAATCTGGTAAGATGTGTTTCAACTGTGAGAACATTTTGTTTAAGATCAGCCATATGTGTATACATGAGATCTGAGAGGGACCTTGGCACCCATGGTTATGTGATCTTAATTGTTCTATGTAAGTTGGATCTTTTAGCTACATTTCTCTTCTTTCTCCTTTTGTGCTCTTAATCACTTAATTAATTGATAGGTTAATTAATCATACAGTTACATCATTACATAATGGAAATCAACATTGGTTATTTCAGAATGATCTTGTTAAGAAATACCAAATTTCAATTTGTCAAAATCCAAGGAGACCATGTGTCACATATTTGGTTTCATGGAATGAAAACTAAAGAAAACCAATATATGACATTTTAAAACGATTCTTCTCAAACTTTTGAAAATAGTGATAAAATCTAAATTTTCAAAATGTATGAAGTCCACCTGTTGAATTCTAACCAGTCACCAAGCAAAGCATATTGCAAAATAAGGAACAACCAAGAACCTACATATTAAATTTGAGAATAATCCAATCAAGTACTTTTGATCAGTCCCAAAACATGTAAATTTGATTAAGATCCACCCAGTAGGCCTATTTATCCCGGAACTTGTGCTGACATTGTTTGAATACACCTAACACATATATTTTTGCCGTATTCGGTTGTGACAGCTGTATTTTAATTTGCTTGAAATACTTTCTGAAATTACTCGAATATTATTTCTAACAATAAAACCAAATGTTGAAATAAGCGATTTTATATGTTGTAAAGAACAAGGTTGTTTAAGTCAATTAATAAAATTGCTGTCATATTCGTTGGAGTTTGAAACTATATTTCTGCGCGGAGCAATCATTTTGGCGTGCGTCATCAAGCAAAATTCAACGTAACGTCAATGCCAGGTAAGCAAAGAATGAACAACAAAAACTGTTGGAGTTCTGATTGTCTGATTTGCAATCAATGTTGCAGAATTAATAAAATACTTGGTCAGTATCTTAAAATATAAGCTGCATTTTGGCTTTCTTCACCCTTGCCAAAATACAGCTTATATTTAAAGACACTGACCATGTATTCTCTATATACTTCTCAAGAAATAGTGATTGCAAACTTTATAGTTTCATTGTCATAGTCAGTTTCAAAATTAAGAGGTGATAAAAATTACATATAAAGGAAAACTACATATGAATTTTGAGGCAGGTCCATCAAGTACTTCCCAAGAATTAGCGAAAACAACCATTCATTGTCGAAATCCAACATGGATCCCTTTTATCCATTTTGGTTTTCCATCTAATATTCCTCAAGAAATAACGATAATTTTTCTCCAAAATCCAACCATTGACATTGAACATTTTGTTTTTTTTTATCTGATCTATCTGAAAACTGAAAGACAACCACTTCATCAAGGCACCAAGGGGAATCTACATATCAAATTTGATAATTGTATGTGCTAACAATGGATCGGCTTATCATACCAAAACGTTACCAAGCTTATTAAAAGTGAATCAATCGCTTTCATTTACAATTAACATGTTTTCACATTGGTTGTTTACATAACAATTGGAGTTATTCTACAATAAAAATAATAAATCAAAGGAAAGTGACTTACATCGATAAAATCTCACTTTCCACTTCAGTCTTACCGGAAGTTTACGCGATACTAAGGACAAACTAAGAGAAAACACGGTATCTGAATTGTATGGTATTATCTTTTTTGTTAATCCATTGAATTGAATCATTAACTTACCTCTTGGGACAAACAATTATTTCTTTTATTTTTATCATTCAAAACAAGTTTAGATACCTTGTTTGCGCTTCTTATAGAATTACATTATAATTTCATCATGCTTTTTCAAGTTAGGACTGCTCTCATTTATTCCTGTCAAAACGGTTTGATTAAGTATCCTTCGTCGATCTTGTTCGTGTATTTTATAACTAGATCGTGCCCGGTATTCTAAGAATTATTGAAATTACTTAAAAATAAATACCACTTTGGTATTTGTTTGTTCCTCAAAAATACTAACCAAAATGTAGTAGAAAAAATATCGCTTTGGACACATAATAAAAAAGCCCCAATAATGCTTCCTGTTAAAACGAAAGTAGAAATAAATTTCTATACTAGTCAGAGATAAAAATACATGTACTGATATGCATTTTAAAGTACACGTGTATCAAACTTGTTCTTTTATCCTAACATAGTAAAACTTTTCCAATGATTCTATTAGGTTATCAACGAGACAGAACAGACAGAGAAATATATAGACGTCAGAGGTAAGTGTTGCACAGGGTGGGCACAACCTCGCATATATACTTACCGCTTTGAGTAAAAAGTTGGTTATTCAAATGCACGATCTTTTGAAATAGAAACACATGAAGATCCTTAATACATCTGCAACAAAACAGGGCGTCATATTTTTTAACACGACTCAAATTAGTGTATGGGAAATGTTCATTTCTGTTATCCAACTTTGTATAAAAATGTCACTTTTTCATTGACTTTGTTTTCCATAGAATAGAGTATAGCCAGTGGTAGCATTTAGTGTAAATGTCAAAGGTGAGCATGAATTTGCCTGTGTTATGTTTTTAGCCACACTAGATACTGTTTGTGATTTTTACTAAAAGCGAGACAACTTAATTATCCACATTTTGTGTTAAAATGTTTGTTGCATTGGTCATTAGGCCATGTCAAAAGTAACATGTTCTTTTTGTTATGTATGTATAAAAGAACTTTTTCTGTTTCTATTTAAAAAGGATCCTGCATTTGAGTAGCAAAAGCAGGACTATTGCCAACATGTGGGGTTGTATTATAAATATCATGCGAGCATTAATTTTCATTTTTGTTGTCTGATATATAGACTATTTCGAGTTTTGAGTTTGAGATACTGATATCCACCCAAAATGACAATTATACTTTTATTCTTTGTTTCCATATCTTTTTAGTTCTACTAGTACAGTACAGACAAGACTCAAGTGATGATTATAACCTAATCACTACGGAAACATTACAACAAAATAATTGTCATCCAATTCCTCCAGTGTTATTGGCTGAAAAAAATAAATGATGAGGAATATCCTGCTCCTTGCTGTGCTGTACTTTCTACAAGGCTTGCCATATGGACTACAGGCTAAATTTCTGCCTGTATACTTCAGGTCACATGGTATGAGTTTGACTGACATCAGCCTCTTCAAGTTACTGCTGTTACCCTGGATGTGTAAAGCATTGTGGGCCCCATATGTTGACCGTTATGGCACCAAAAGGGATTGGCTCATGTGGAGTATGTCAGGGTTAGCACTGACTTGCATAGTTGGAGCGTTTTCTCCACCTGAACTCATCATTCCATTGGGTTGTGTACTCTTCCTTTTCAATCTTTTAACCTCCACTCAGGACATTGCTGTGGATGGAATAGCTATACATATGCTGTCATCATCTGAGCTGGCGTACGGAAACATCGCTCAAGTAGTTGGCTATAAGGTGGGCACATTGGTCAGTGGAGGTGTCCTGACCTGGTTAAGTGATCACCTGCCCTGGTCATTACTCTTTTTTGTTTTAGTTGGTGTTTATTCCCTATCAACATTTTTTGTGACAATTGGCATACCACATACAGAACGGACACACCAGGAAGATACTGGAAAAAGTGAACAAAGCTCCAAACGAACAGATAATGAAGATGATCAGTATGGATGGTTTTTCAGACATCTAGTAGACGTATACAGATCAACTGGGACTAAATGGATTATTGTTTTTGTGCTTCTATATAAACTTGGTAAGTAGGTTTCATTATATTCTGTATTCTTTCAATAGAATGACTTTGTGTTACAGGTGAATGAACAAGGAGCCATCAGCATGGTTCCACTACACACTTGAAAGGTTGTTTAATTTTACAACTTTATGTTACAGGGGAACAAGGAGCAATTAGTATGGTCCCACTGTATTTGGTAGACAAAGATCTGCCAATGTCAAAAATTGGATTCTGGACAGGAATTGTTGGACAACTGGTGTCTATTTTTGGTTCATTTCTTGGAGGATGGCTGATATCACATCTCAGGTAAATATATAGGTATCCTGTCAGGTACTGTAGTGCAGTCAACTACATTGTATTACATATCTTAGATATGTTATAAAACCAAGAAATCCTGTTGTACAGTGTATTTTCATGTGAGGAAGCCTTGGCAAGGTTTTCTGGGGAGGCAAGTATTTCAATTCCTTACGATGGTCACCTCTGATTGTTAAAGCCCCAATATACTCATCATTTGACAAATTCATATGATTCAGAAAATTTCTGAGAAAACTTCCACTCGGTAATTATGATAAGATAACATTAAAACATACCTTCAGCTGAGTGATATCTATTAAGAAACACTTTGTATAATGAATAAAAGTGGGTCACATTTAAAATAAAAACTTATGCTATGTAAAGTTCATTGGGCTGTCACTAAAAAAGATGTGACCAATTAGCATACTAATTACACAGATTTATATTGAAAGTTGTGTATATTGGGGCATTAAAAACCAAAGTTTTCAAACTTTCTATTTCATGATAGATAATTTTATCACTTATTCTAACTTCATAACCACTGGATGATCATGATCATGTGCCAGTACAAGTGTTGGTGTCGTTTGGTCACTTCAGAGGTGTGGCTTGGTGTCCCTATAGTGTGACATCACAAAACAGCTGTGGTGGCACTTAAATGTGACATCAGAATATAGGCATGGCTTGGTGTCAGTGTGGTTTGGTGTCACAATAGTTTGACATCATGATAGAAACATGGTTTGGTGTCACTCTAGTGTGACATCCAAATATCACAATACTTTGACATCACTATAAAGACATCACAATACCTTTGCAGATTGATGTCACCATAGTTTGATATCACAATAGAAGTGTAGTTTGGCTTCATGACAGTCGGTCCAATTTTTGTGTACTCACCATGTTATGAATTTGATTTTCATACATTGTGTGTTTAATTGCATTAAGATGATTATGTTTATACAAGCATCATTAATTCCTCAGCTGGAGCACAGTGGACCTCCTCAAAGTGTCATGTATGTTGCGGTTATTTCCACTTACCTCTCAGATCCTTGTAGTATGTTTCTGGTCTGAAGAATATGTATCACTGTGTTATGGTAAGTAAATACTCTTTATATTCTATGTAATTTCAGCTGTGCTTCTGTAAGAAACTAATTTAATGATTTGTATTGATATATAAAACTGCCAAACCAATAAATGTCTCTCAAGAAATAATTTATCATACTTAACATTGCTCAGAAAGTGTTTCTATTATTTCAATTTGTGGTTCATAATTTTACAATAACATTTTGTGAATTATTTTCAGTGATATCCGTCTTGAGTATGCTCACTATGTTACTCATTAGTGGTACGGTAACCACAGCAACCTTTACTATGATGATGCAGTGCTCACAGCTAGCGCCCTCTCAGATCCAGGCAACACACTACACTGTGCTGGCTACACTGGAGGTTCTAGGAAAGCTGACCTTCTCTGTGGTGACTGGACCTATGACAGATGTTTTAGGATACAGATATGTGTATTTAATATTTATAGCACTCACTGCATTTCTACTACCATTGTTCAGATACTGTCCACCAAGTTTGGAAGAGAAAGCAAATACAAATAAAAATAATTAACATATTCATCATACAGCTCATTTTTAGTTGATTTCAAAATTAATACTATGGAAGTTGGTGAGCTGGAGGTGACTTCCTTCTCTTCCAATAGTATTTTCTTTTTTTGATGTCGCAAATAAAGACAAATATTAAATTCATAACATAATTTATTGAAACTTTACATACAACTCTTCATTGTAATATGTCAACAACAAACATTAACAAATGGTAGTACATATATATGGAGGGGTTAACAGACTACCTAACAGTTCATATTTAAACACCTTAGGTGCATTTAATTTGAAAAGTTGAAATAGTAGAAGAAAGTTTATATATTTGTAACAGCGGTAATTGTTTATTTCCAATGCCTTCGTCAGGGATCAAACTCAGGACTTCTGAATTAATACACTCAACCAATCAAGCTAAAGAGATCCTTCTCTTGCAGTATGTTGTGTTTAATATTTTTCAGGGTTGCATTAAAATCTACAATGCTTGCATGAAAGGTTTTATTTATTTTTTGTCCAATTAGATTTCAATTGAATGGGAAACAGAAAAATTGCCAACTTTCAAAAATTCAAAAAATATATTGACCTATTCAGCATTATTAACATCAATACGGCTTTTTATAGGAATTGTTGTACCAGTTTAGGCATGAAAATTCATTGGAATTGTTGTACCAGTTTAGGCATGAAAATTCATTGGAATTGTTGTACCAGTTTAGGCATGAAAATTCATTGGAATTGTTGTACCAGTTTAGGCATGAAAATTCATTGGAATTGTTGTACCAGTTTAGGCATGAAAATTTATTGGAACTGGTGTTCCAGTTTAGGCGACGTTCACCAGACAATATTTGCAGACAACAGACAGACACACTGACAGACAGAGAGTGATTCCAGTATAATACGAAACCCAAAAGTAATAAAAAAAACTTGAAAATTAGAAGAAATCCCTCAATACGTGATGAGACATTAAATGAGACAGTGCCTTAATATAGAAGCTTTCATCTGTAAAAGATAGTCATGAAGTACAGACTAATACTTTTTTTCAGATTAATGTTTTTTATCAAATATACATCAACTTTGATAAATTGATTAAATACAACATAAAAGCTGTGACAAATTGATAAGTCTGTGTTCTGATTTAAATGTCAGTAATATGCTTAATTAAAAACTACAAGTAATCTGTCATGATTTCAGGAATCTAAATAATTCATATTTAGTTTTCCAACATATTCTTAATCTCTCTGTTACAATGATTGAGAGCTTGGTAGAAACCTTTTATTTCTAAGAGATTAGTTTTTACCTGAATTTTCAACCACCAAGCTTTCCCGTTACTTATCACCTAAAACCTAACCCCTCCAAGTAGTGTGTTCAAAAATCTTTATTCTTGAATCTCTGGTATTTAGAAACTACACTGTGGTTCAGTTGACAACAATAGCTCATTTCACGATAAAAATGTTTCAAAATATTGTGGAGATTGATCTTAATAAGGGACAACACTATCACAAAACAGTAAATACTCCCAGAATTACCAGGATCCTCATATGTAACTAGACATACAAGTAACTTATACAGGTAAGATTTGCTAGCAAGTTATACAGGAAAAGTTTACTACCAAGTTAAACTAGAAAAGTTAACAAGTTATACAGGAAAGATTTACAAGGAAGTTTTACAAGTAAGGTTTATTAGAAAGTTGTAAAGGAAACATTTACAAGGAATTTATACAGGAAAGATTTACTAGTATGGTAAGTTATACAGGTAAAATTTACTTGTAAGTTATACAGATAAGTTTTACAAGTGAAATTCATGGGTAAGTTATACAAGTTAGATTTATAAGTAAGTTATTCAGGTAAAGTTTTCTATAGTAAGATTTACAGGTTTTACTTGGGAGATACACACGTAAGATTTACTTGTAAGTTATACAGATAAGGTTTACCTGAAAGTTATACAGGTAAAGTTTACTAGTAAGTAACACAGGTAAGATTTACTTGTAAGTTATAAAGGAAAAGTTTAAGAGTATGTTATACAGGAAAGATTTAATAGTATGGTAAGTTATACAGATAAGGTTTACCTGAAAGTTATACAGGCAAGATTTACTTGTAAGTTATACAGATAAGGTTTACCTGAAAGTTATACAGGTAACATTTACTTTTAAGTTATACAGATAAGGTTTACCTGAAAGTTATACAGGCCTGAAAGTTATACAGGCAAGATTTACTTGTAAGTTATACAGATAAGGTTTACCTGAAAGTTATACAGGTAACATTTACTTGTAAGTTATACAGATAAGGTTTACCTGAAAGTTATACAGGCAAGATTTACTTGTAAGTTTTACAAGTGAAATTCACAGGTAAGTTATACAATGAAAATTACAAGTATGTGAAGTAAGAATAAATAGCAGTGAAAATTTGACTATGTGAAAGAAAAATCAAAAGATTACAATTGATATTGGTTACTACCTTGTTGCACAAACTTCACAGACTAACACCATTGTTCATTTCTTATCTAACATATGCATAGGTGCATTGTATTTTGATTTCGTCAATAATATAAACATTGGACAGGCAAGTAAACAAAGAATTTCACATAATCTACATTTCTTATGAAATATAGAAAATGAATTTTCTCTCAACAAAACATGTAAAAACAATAAAAATGATGACATCAAAGTCATCACCTCATCATCTGTCATCTTCAATGTCCCACCATCATGTATATTATTTAAACTTCAGTGTTATTACATAAGGTTATAAAACAAATTATCACTGTATGATCTTATATTCCATTGGTCTGAATTACACCTCTTGAGATATAAAATGCTGTACGATTTTCTAAAATGACCCTGTGTCATGTACTTGTTCCAGTTAGAATGTTGGGAAACCTATCAATTAACACTAATGTAGAAAGATTAATGTTCCTACCTTGTCACATGTATTTGTTCCAGTCAAGGTGCTAAGAGACCTATATTTCAATATTTCTGTAAACTGCTGTTGCTTAGCAATTTGTAACAACACATATGTATATGATTGTCACTTCATAATTTATACACTGTAGTAGTTGTTTATCTATCAAATTACACCAGAATTTATAATTTACTAATTCAATTTCTGACATTAATTCCTTGTTGACTTCTACACATCAGTTTTTATTTTTCTTTCAAAAACTAAAATCAGTTTGTAAGATATGAATGCCCTTTCCCTGCAAATTAGTATAATGATTTTTGACAGGTCTCTATGTAACAGCACTCGTTGTCATGACTTTGGAATCCTGTCACAATCACCAACTCATCCAAGGTATTTGTTGTATTTGAACTTTGTATAAAGTGATGACAGTGCATTGGGATGTTAGGCCTCCACACCTCCTATCTTCCACAATAAAAGGTTCACATATAAGTGAATGTCGTTTAAACAATTACATATGTAGATGCAAAATAAGATATTAAAAGTACATAATGTAAATTAAAAAAAAGTATATATATATATATATATATTCCTTCATACAAAACTGAATTTAAAAACATTCATATATTCACAACATCATAAAAATATAATCAAGAAAAAAAATTGCTCCATGAGCTTTACAAAATCCTATTAGGACATTAAGAAACATTGTTGCAAAAATCAATATTTGTATCACTTCCAGCCAATTCCACATGTATCTCTCTAACCATTTCTGTAAGAAATAGATGCATAGATGAAATAGCCTGCACAAGACAGGTTTAAATAAAATGAGATCACTGTAATTCTTGGGGATTCTAACTTTCCCAAATATTGAGGCATTTATAAAATTTTAAAAAGAAAAATTATTAAAACAGAATCAATATTGTCTGTTTCATGAATTCTGTTTAAAATATTTACATAATTAAGTTGAAACATCAAGACAAAAAACACCCATTGCAGAATACTTTTAAATTGATTTATAATTGGTGAAAGTATGAATTTTTTAATGTGTCTGAAAATTTAAAATACTCATTTAATTTAAATATTAAATTATTTGTTTAAAGTAAATACTGCAAATAAATAACAAACCTTCAAGCACATACACACATGTATATCTTTTTCATCTGTCTAAATTTTCCCTGTACGATAACACAGGGACTCATAGAGACACAAATATTGATCACAACCCTGCAATAAACACCAATGGTAAAAAGATGATCAAACAACCAAAACAGTGAAGGGTAAAGCTAAAGTGATTTCAGTGTCGTGGACTAAAAAACATACCATCTACATAGAAAACTTAAATCTATGTCATAGTTATTTTATTGAAAGATCATAAAGAAGGTTTATATTCGTTATTTCTTAATGCTGAACTCAATACGCTAACAAAACAGCATATTTAAAATGCATATCTCTAAATTAAATTTTAGATTATTTTGCAACATATTTGAAAAATTAAATGTACCAAACTGATGTAAATTTTCTCTGTGAAAATTTTGATACCATTATAAACATTAATTGATGTGATTATTCTGTAAATAATGCTTTTGTCATTACCATAAAGTCTATTCTGTGATGACATAAATGAACAATCAGTTTTATCAAAAATCTATGGCTATAATTAAGATGACATAATCAAACCTGTTCTGTGTATTGTATTTCATTTTATGCACATAACATATGAGAATGGATATTTAATACAGAACACAATTTTTTTTTAAATTTTCGTCAAAATTATATATGGGTATTAATAAAGACAACCCCGCAGGAATATTCAAGAAAATCACTGGACTAAATATCCATAAAAAAATTGTTGACTCTATTAATGAAGTGATCACTATCCAAGGATATGTGTACCTATTATCAGAGCAGCCAGAAAGAAAAGGTAGAAGATATAAAATAACACAGAGGGATTTCACTACTTACACATTACCTGGTGTACCAGCTCCAAGTATACCTAAGTACCTGTACTGGAGCTTCACCACTTTCTCTTGTACCTCCTCTGAGAATATCTAAATCCATGTACTGGGATTTCTCTACTTTCTGTCATACCTCCTCAGGAAATATCTACATACATGTACTGGAATTTGACCACTTCCTGTTATACCTTCTTGAAGTATATCTACATACACATACTTGGATTTGACCACTTCCTGTTATACCTACTCCGAGTATATCTACGTACACATACTGGGATTTGATCACTTCCTGTTATACCTACTCTGAGTATATCTACATACACATACTGGGATTTGACCACTTCCTGCTGCACCTACTCTGAGTATTTCTAAATACCTGTACTAGGATTTAAATAATTCATTCTTCTATGTGATTTTATCTTAATGATATGTTCAGGTACCAGCATTCATTATCTTGGCTAAAAATTCAGTAAAGTAAATCAAAGTCCAGATCTCTAATGTTTCAGAGATTCATGTACAAATCATTAGCACAGATCACAATGACACTAATAAATATCAAATATAATTTCTGTATATAAAATATAACAATGGTGACAGAAAACTGTCGAGAAATTATCACAGTCTAAAAATCACATGGTCAAACAAAAGGCTATCAATATATTGGTCGATACAAAATCAACATGTTGACACATTCCAACTGAATAAAAATATACTGATGTCTAGTTTTTCTTTTCTACAACATCAAGAAGACAACTTGTATGTGAGGGAAATTGCTGTGGAAGTATAACACATAATATATATGTATGTGAGACTGATATCAAACATAACCTGTAAGTTATGTTGTGTTACTCAGAGCAATGATGCTGACTAGCTTCTCACAGACAGCATTCCTCATGGCTTGTACTGATCCCAGCTAGCTTCTCACAGACAGCATTCCTCATGGCTTGTACTGATTCCAAACAAAAGCATTCCTCATGGCATATATATTGCTAGCTTCTCACAACAGCATTCCTCATGGCTTGTACATGTTTGCACACATTCCTCATGGCATATACTGAATAAAAATATACCTCATGGCTTGATTTTCCTCTAGCTTTGCACAGACAGCATTCCTCATGGCATATACTGATTCCAGCTAGCTTTGCACAGACAGCATTCCTCATGGCTTGTACTGATTCCAGCTAGCTTTGCACAGACAGCATTCCTCATGGCATATACTGATTCCAGCTAGCTTCTCACAGACAGCATTCCTCATGGCTTGTACTGATTCCAGCTAGCTTTGCACAGACAGCATTCCTCATGGCATATACTGATTCCAGCTAGCTTCTCACAGACAGCATTCCTCATGGCTTGATCTGATTCCAGCTAGCTTCTCACAGACAGCATTCCTCATGGCATGTACTGATTCCAGCTAGCTTCTCACAGACAGCATTCCTCATGGCATGTACTGATTCCAGCTAGCTTCTCACAGACAGCATTCCTCTGGGCATGGACTTGGTGGATTTGGTGGACTTAGCTGATCTGATGGACAGATGGCTAGCCCTGCTGGGTAAACGATCAGTGTAAGGAGTTTGACTCCTCTCTGGCAAGGAACTGGACCCCTCGTCCATTTCTGTGTTAGGAGCCTGTTGACTAGAGCTTAGTGGGGCCCAGTTTTCATCAATAAAAGAATGAACAATCTGATTGAACACGTCAGGGGTTTCTATCATCACCATGTGCCCTGCCCGCTCTACTACTTCCAACTTGGATCCATAGATAACCTAAAGCAAAAGATTTTCATTCATGCACTTCACTTAAGATTGAACAGTTATGTGTCAACTGACTTTGAATTGATTACGTTCCTATGGAATCAGAATTATAAATGCTCTTTCTTGTGGATCATCATGCAAGACATTTTTATCAATCAAAGTTTCTTCCCTTACTCTAAGGTCATGAACATGTGTTTCTTACATAACAATACCAAGAAAATGTTCATGAAACATGTATTTGCAATCCTGCTTTGACAGTCACGAAGATAAACATAGAGAGTTTAGCACAAGTTGAAACACGTCAGGTGAAATTTTTTTTTTACAATCTACCTCAATAACATCAATGTTAAACACAAGTAGAACAATACCATCCAACTTAAACCAGAATGTAACCTTAAATACAAGTATATCAGCAAAAACCTGTTATTTAGGTTTGTTGCTGACTGTCAATGACAGGTGAAAAAGAATGAAGTGAAAATGATCTCCTCAGGCTTTGTCTGCATTACAGAAATTATCACATTTTATCATAAATCTTGAAGTAAGAATATCTATTCTTCAACTAGGTGAGCCTACTATGAAATAACATCAAAGTTTCAGGGTGTCAATGACTGCAGAAATACACAAATCACATCCTGATAACAGAGAGGATGTTACAAAAATTGCTCAATCTTGGTCTTTGTCATGGTAGAGAATCATACCTTGTTCATTTCTTCCTCTTCCTGCAAACTGACAAATATGTCATGACGCCCGTAAATCAGAAGAGTGCTGACTGCTATCCAGCTGTGATACATGTCATCGCCATCTGGCCAGAACTGACCATTCATGATGTAACTAAGTACATATGTTGGAATGGCAAATGTGGTTTCCTTTGATACTGGTAGTTCAGATCCCGACTTAAAAGCTCTCCTAAAAAAGAAATTAGTTTTTCTGAAAGCTGTTCAACTATTGTTATATAATATGAGGCAAATGTGATTTTCAAATTGACATAACTATAATACATGATTATGTATCTGCTTTGCCAACCTAGATGGCTGAGGTTTAGATTATCAACCTATGAGGCATCTTATGACTTATAACAGGGATTAATAACCTAAAATATGAACTACTATAAGTAGAGACTCATAAGCCAAAAAGTTATCTGACTAATCTCAACAGAAAACTCATCCAAGATCTTATTGATATAAGGCTCATACAATATTTTTTAAAATCAGTTTAAATTATCATGTTTACAAGGTTCAATAGTAATTAACCTGCAAAGGGTCATAACTCTTTAAATTATGATCAAATCGATCCCATTATCACACTCATCTGAGATCTTACCAATATGTGGCTGCATGACAAGTTTCATCAAAATCTGTTCATATTTACTCAAGTTTAAGTTCACAAGATATGTAGTAATAAAACTGTAATGGGCCATAACTTAGTAAGTCGTGATTGAATCAATCCCACTGTCCAGTAATTTGAGATCTTATTAATATAAGGCTGTGCACCCAGTTTCATCACAATCCGTTCATATTTACCCAAGTTATTGTGTTCACAAGGTACATAGTAATAAAACTTCAAAGGGCATTAACTCTATAAATTGTGATCAAACCAATCCAGATGTTAAACTCATTTGAGATCTTATTGATATAAGGTTGTATACCATATTTTTTAAAGTGATTGCTTTCATAAAGTTCAATAGTAAGCACATTTTCAAGGGCCATAAATCAAAAAAATTACAATCTAATCAGTCTCATTGCCAAACTCGAAAGTGAAGTCTAATTGATATAATGCTGCATATCAAGTTTCACCAAAATCAGTTCATATTTACTAAAGTTATTGTGTTCACAAGAAAAAGTTGACACACAACAACCAAAAAACAACAATCACTATAGATAGGTCACCATATTAATCCTGAAATAAGAGCAGGGGACCAACAAATTACTTTTTTAACTCCAGAAGTAGGTTTAATAAAGGACAATGAATTAGTATTTTCATCTATGTATAATGATGGGCTTATTGAAAAGAAATATAGTAATCGTCTTTTTCTGTGAACTATGAAAATGTATTACCGTTGAAAGCAACAAGAAAGACAAGGTTTAATACAGGACAGCATACACAGTGGTAAGGAGAAGACACCGGGCTGAGGCGCAAGAGGATTTGGCCCTCCTCCACTCACTAGTATCAGTTTGTGGATACGACTGGAACGCTGTCGGGCCAACACTGTCGCAAATGCACATCTGTAATATCAACCATTAGTCTAGAATGATCACATACACACAATGAATAGGTAAATCACCTGTCATTTCTTTTATTTTGGGTAAACTTTCATGAGAAAATATTTCACAACATAAGTTTGCTGAATAATGTTAAAATTATAGATACAATTTTATAGCATGCATACTCGAAAACAAAATAAAACCAGATTTATTTTCAATTTGCAATCTGATTCCAAAATATGGGTGATGCCTTAGATTCAGACATTTTTATTTAAAGACAAGTAGTACCAAGTCTTAGAAATTTGATATCATACAGAAAAATATGTGATGAGATACATGTATGCACTGGATAAGGTCCTATAAGGGTTGTAAACAGAGTGCTAAGTTATAGACAATTTCTACTGCATTGATGTGGAACTAACCTCCCACACAGAATAGTAACAGGTTAATAAAAATAACAAAATATTACCCGTAGGAGTGACCCACAATGACATTCTTTCTTTTGCAATATTTGTCAAAGATTTCGTCAATGTCTGCAAGAATCTCATCAAAATGGTAGGCTTGTTTTCTGTCTGGAGCACAACTCAATCCATGACCAATCATGTCTGGACATACAATCTCGTAACCAATCTCAGCAAAGTACTCTATCTGTGACTTCCAGACATCAGATGATCCACCAACACCATGAATGAAAAACAGCACCATGCCTGTGTCTATACCATTGTTCTGTATCTCTTTTCCACTGAATTTACTTGCTGCTTGTGTGTGTAATGGTGATTTATCAGCGAGACTTTGTTTACTATGTGACATGTCAGACTCTCCGCCTTCATCAATCGTAGGTCCATTTGTCTTACCAATATGTCCTAAATCTATACGTTTAACCTGCTGGTCCATTGATATAGTTACATTTGATGAGGACATGACACTCTGAGTCTCTGCATGAGATGTTCGTGAAAGACCTCTATTAGGAGTCTGTACAGAATATCCACTGGTTATGCTCTTTTCTGTCAATGGTCGTTCATTGTTTGTGCTACCATTAGGAAGACTATTAATTGCATCAGCTGGTACTTCGTTGGGAATGTTTGAATGGGACACCTGATCAATATTAGTGCCTTTGTCAGGAGTGGAATGGGCAGATGTTCTTTTGCTATTAGTCCTTCGTATACTCATATGTGTGGCAATATTTGGGAGCATCCCTGTGCGTTTATACTCCATGAACATCTGCATTTCTTTCTCAAATCTCCCATCTCTCTTTCGTTTATTGAAATGCTGAATCCTCAGGTAACGGCCTTTCCGTATCTCAATAATATCAGGATTTGTGTCAGGTGCTGGTGAAATACGAACATTGTGGCTAGCATTGCAGCAAGTCATACAGTCAGTCCCTGTTACAGCTGACAAGACATTTTACCATCATCCAACACCTATCAAAATATTAAAAAAAAATTATGTACCATGTCACATTTACTGTAATACTAAGTACTAAATACTGCTATTTAAACCCATCCCCAAGCAAAGCCATCCTCACAAGTGGACAACACATACTAAATTAATACGGCCAACTCATATAAAAGTCATACTCACCATATGATGCAAAACTGGCATGGTTTATTATATCATAAACAGTTGAATTTTCAAATTGAAAATGGAATGTTTTTACCTTGATCACAAGAATATTTCCCAAATCTCATAATTTCTACCCAGTCAGACAGAAATATCCATGCTTCCAATGAGAGTAAGATATCTCTTTCTCTCATTTCTACCAGCTGTGTAATACACATCCACCCATGCAATACAGGCATGCACACACGCATAGAAATGTGATATTCCCCTTCCCAGTTTACTTCATCGCATGATATATACACATGTGTACAAATAGTTATTTGCAGTGACTGTCTGTATTTTTATTTAATTTTCCTGGACAAACTTTGCCAAATCTAGGTACAGAGAATACATTTATGTAAACTTGCAGATAAATTACATAATAAAACAAAATCAGATTTTTGTGCAATATGGCATTCTTGGTAGTACACTGTCAATGTCAGATGCTAATAATTTTTCAATATCTTAGAATTGGAAGTGAGAAAACAATAATCTTTCATATTTTGGGTGCAGGAAGTGATTATTCACCCTCTAAGTTACAAAATATGGTAAAACCATTGGAAAATCCTCAAGTTTTAGGACATTTTGTGACCTCTTAGGTGGAATATCCATATCCTACACCCCAGACACATGAAAAAATCTTGTCAGTGTAAGACAGCCAGAATTCACAGTACATAAACACATGCCAAACCGGAAGTTGTTTATTTGAGATGTGAGAGACATGACTGATTGGTGTTGACAGATTAAGATAAGTTTAACATTATTGTGAGACAGTATCTGATCATTTTTGTTTATACAAATCAATCTTAAATGCATATTGTGGCAATTAATTATCATTACATTTATCTATACAAAATGCATATAATGTTGATTACAAATTGTTAAAAATAAAAATATTAGCCATTATTTGCCTGGTTTAGTTTCTATATTTGTCAGCATATATTCAGGTTTGGCACAACCCCTCACATGGGTAATAGTCATGCAATTGAGGGATTCACTATAGTTATTGCTATGAGTAATCAGTTAGTTACTAAAATGCAGTCATTCTGATATAGAAACACACAAATAAAGAGTTTGTTCATGTTTTTTAACATTAGCCAATGTGACAATGCAGGATTATGTGTACAGTACCCATACGAGTAGTTGTGCCAGTCTGATAATTGTGTCGTTATTCTATTATAGCATGTTTGAGATAAGGCGTAGAAAAATTAGCATACCCAACTCTGAGGGCAGGATATAAGACATCTATGGAGGAGATTCCCGACAATCTAACCTTCTGGCAAGATAGTCCTGAATCTCATCGGGTAGAGATTTCTCTATTCAAACCTCAAGCTAGGGAAAGACAGGTCGACGGTATCCTGCATTATGATTGCGGACTAACGTAAGACATATGCATTAAAGACATAAAATAAGACTACATAGAGAATATTTTCATGGTCGTAATAATCCTGATTGTAATTTCTTGTAGTATAAGAGCACTTATCTTGAGCTTAAACTATGTTATGCTTACTTGTTTATATTTTCCATGGAAGTATGCCAAATAACTCTCATCAAAGGAAATAGTGCCGTTTACGCAATGTAGTACTCTACAATATATCACCTAAAGTGATATTTAACTCTTGTAACTACTTCTTCGTTTATAGTTTACCATAATCACTTTACTACACATATAGATACACCTTATAATCTGCATGGTTTAACATCTCATACTTTTAAGGTTATCTTCGATGGTGCGGAATAATATAGACGTCCAGTTCCGCCGGAAGCCGTGTGCTGTGTGCTGCATCTAAAGAAGCGAAGCGATGTCATTTATGATAAGTGGCCTAAGGTATCAATTATTGTTAATGAAGTCGTAATAAGCTTATTTTTGGTTATTCATTAAACAGCATGGAGTTAAAATCAACACAACATAGCTGTCCAACACCGCCAGTCCTCTTATCATTACCAAAATATGATATCACATGTGTTATATATGTCTCTGATATAAGTAGCCGATACGATTATCTCCCTTCCATTAACGACCTCAGCAACAGATATGTAACTTACCGCTTCAAAATTACGATATTTTCAGAATTTCCCACTCTCAATGATCTCTATAACCAGGTATCATCGACCTATACTCCTGATCAAATATTGCATGTAAAGTGACCTTTAACAGTTGTTTTGAAGAACTATAAGAAGACAAATCATAACTGCTCATATCATATAGCAGCTATAAATTGTACATACCTGGTAAAGACAAAGTCACCTTCAAGCTTTGTACTAGAGGGAATTTACACTGAGCTTGAATAGTAGAGTGTCAGACTAGTAAACTACAGATTACAGGTTTGATACACTGCACATTTGTGTCGTGGACCACTCCAAGCACAAACTAGTGGAGACCAGGATACTAGTGGAAACGAGTGGAGGATGAGAGGTTACATTGGAGCAAGAGATCTGGGAATGGTGTGGTTTTCGAAGTGGGGATTAGTGCGGCAGGTTTTAATTATACTTCAGAATCAAATAATCATATAATGTAATTAATTATTCACCTTTAAAAACAATCAATAGTTTAAAATTGATACTTTAGTTATAAAACTAGGACTTACATTAAATTCAAAGTGTCAAGGACTCTCATAGACTTTGTGTATGAAGAAAGTGGTATATAAGTATGGAATGGCATATGATATTTATAGATTGGTCTCGCTAATCTGTATATATATATAGAATCTAGTAAGTAATTTAGAAGGACTAGTCCAATATTGGTACTGGATCCTAACAAACAAAGTTAGTTGGATGCATATTAGTGGAATAGATATATGATCAATGAAGTAATAGCAACAGTATGAACAAGCAAATTGTCAAATTTTCAGGGCAACCTGCCCGTTTATCAAGACACAAATATTATATAAATTACATCACATACATAGAACATAAAACAACTAGTTATGAATCTAAAGTGAGAATGTTGGTGTAAATTTAGGTGTCTTGATAATACCTTTGGCCCATGGATGCCAAAGGCCCTTTATAATTGACAAAACAAACCATCCCAAGTTGTTGTATGTAAGATGGTGATTAAAATGTTATAAATGTTGTGTATATATATATATATCTCGGTATGTTTTGCAATCTAGACACTGAGTGTAAATGTGAATGCAACGAAAATAATTGCATGTCACACTCCCAGGAAAGAAGTCTACTGGTTCATCTTGGCCACATTCTAAATGAGGCATTGTTTGATTAAAAATATGAAAATTTATTTTAAAAATATGTTAAATGTATGTGTGGTTTCAGTAAAAAATAATTCAATAATAAACGCCAGTTAAATGCATAAAATATATATATACAAAAAAAATTGTATAATTTTGAATATGGTCAAATGCTCCCCAGATTCATCAACTGACCCAAAGAAAAGTTGTCCCATAAAATTGAAAATTTCTTCTTCCGGACTAGAGCTAATAAACAGCGCCAATCTGAAATAGGAAGGAAAGCAGATATAGTAACTAAATGAAAAGTGCAATAAATGGAGCAAGTATGGAATCAGATAGGTGGGTGATACATAACTAGTGGCCTCAGTATAGATAGTATAGCATCAGCCACCTATCTGCCCCTCTTTCAAAAAAAATGAAAAGGAAAACAAACTTTTTTTTTAGTACTTTGATTTACTCTTTTCAGGAGCCTCCTGAACTGTACCAGTAGGATACAAATATGTTTTACACATGTCAGCAGTAACCCAACCTCAATAGGACTGACATCTGTCCAGCAACCGTGGTCAATTCCTCATCGCTGTCTGACTCTTCCTCCAGAGAGGCAATGTAATATAAAGAAACGTGGAAAGTTTAGACCAACTTTCTGGAAACGTCTACACCAGAATGGTTTAGAGACTGCACTAGCGTCACCAGCAGGACGCAGAAGACTTTTCAACAGATTGCTGAAAGGAAAACATAACCTGACAGGGCACGACTCTTTCTTAGCTGTCAAACCTAAATATGCAAAAACAAAGAAAGAACTAAGACATGAAGTATCAATACCTAAGCCACTCCGAAGCCGTCATAATGCTTGAAAGATTTCATTCAAAGGATGTGATGATGCATGTAGAGTGCTTGTAAAATGTGCTAATAAAAGAAATGTGTGATTGTACGTTCTAGTGTTGAAAATCACTTTAAAATCTATTTCATTTCTTTTCATTTTAGGAATAACAAATCAGCATTTTTCATAAACTGATTACAATTCTTTTAATATAAATTCATGTTGAGATATTTTTTTACAGTTTTATGGTACAATTCATTTACAGAATTTGCGCGTCAATCCCGCTGATCATCAGCAAACCTTGAGCAATCCTTCACCCAGAAAATCAAGTTTAAGAAGATCAACTTTTACACATACCATTTTTGTTCATTATACAACTGTCGGTGATATCTGTGAGAATTGATTGAAAAATGTCATTATTTTATCAAAACTAGGCACAGAGTGTCAACATATTCAGCTTTCTCTTCAGTGCTAGACACAAAATCTTGTATGATTAAAACTATTTGCCGAGTTGTATAAACTTTAATTTTGTTGTTGTGACATGTCACAGAAATCATCTTGTGAAAAAATCAAGGTAACTTGATTTTCATTGTGAATGTGATGTGAATGTAAAAGGTGCATGATATCAAAGTACCAACACATATTAATAACCTAACCCAATTTGATTTTTTTCAAATAGGGACCCTTGAGGTCATGGAGTTCACAATAACAGTAAAGCACTTTCATCCATGAAGAGTATCAAATCTGGGACTTGTAAAGATTTTATTTTTTTCTTAATTTTAGACGATTTTACCCTTTTTGCCACACATTTCAGGCCTCTTGCATGTGGAAACCATATAATTAACACTTTGGGTTCACCTTTTGCCTTGTATATGCTGCAAAATTTAATTGAAATTTTAAAATTTGTTCATGGATGCAAGACAATATACAAAAGGTGATTGTAATAGGTCACTTCGTATCAGATGGCCTTAACAGCAAGCCCAAGACCAGTTTCAAAGTTTTTACACAGGTTCGTCATGCAATTTGGGAAAAGGTTAAAAGTGATTTCTATGTCCTCTCAGAGTGTACAAACTTAGAAAAATTAGCCTATTAATACACAAGATGACACAAAAGTAAGTAAAAGGACTTCATGCAGTATAAAACTATAAATTACAGTATGATTTATTTGATTGTGGCATTTGTTGCTCAGTCAACAGCAAGTGGACTCCCTGTAGTAGCTGGTAGCCACCTCACTGAACAACACACTGGAGGCCTGTTGCATGCCATCCAGCACAAACTGGGTTAAAGTTTTCTTCCCCAAAATTACATACCATGACAACACTGTTTCTTAGCCTACCGGGAAATAAACTTCCAAAGTTTGGGAGCATTGAACCATGAACCTCTGATCTTCACCAATAATCTGATTCTGTTTGCACTCCTTGTTCATATGAACACAATAGAAACAAAAACCTCAAATCAGATTTTCCATTTTATTTCACCATTTTTTGTTCCTACAGCATAAAAATCTAGAATTCATAATTAGATGATGAAACAGTATATGTTTCTGTGCAGCCATTCATGACCCATTCTTATTAAGAATTTTTTTGAGTATTATGAAAGCATATTTTTCCTCTGTTGAAAAGTTTTATGTCCTGACTGATGTTAAAGATGAAAAACACCCATTCCTTTCTAATTAGCATAAATGTTACATATCAATAAAGCAACATACACTACAAAAAAAATTTTAAAAAAATAGAGATCAAATAAACCTAACAAATCCCTTATATACAAATACGTTTCACTGGGCCATTTCTGCATTATGCAACACATTTTTTCAGTTTGCTTCCATAAAATCATTTATATTATTAGGGATATGTAACAGGAAGAGGTAAACGCCACATTCATCCATCAACATACCTAGTACATACAATTTATATATCACAAGTGCTATTAATCTGGTTAAAGTCAATTAACTAAGCATGCTTTCAATGTTTTCTCCAGTGTTATGTTATCCAGATGATGATACAGAATATCCGTGATCTTATTTTGATCTTTGAAAGCCAAATCAGCACCAACCAAGTGTGACAAGTTATGACACTTTTGTTAATTATTCATCCAATCAGCAATGGTACAATGTTTACATATTTACTTAAAGTGACTTTTGAAATGCTTATTGTTCAGTTGAACAGCATACTAAAATTAAACAGTGAAGAAAGTACCATTTTCTATTCAGTAATGTTGTACATAATATGAAGCTAGGTTTTGGCTAATAATGCAATATAATTTACCAATGGTACATAACAATACAGTGTTTGTGTTTACATTGTAATATTCTTTATGTACAGTAAATGGCTCAACTAAACTGCTCTTCAGCTCTATTGATAAAGCACCAAAGTTTGAGTCTTAGTGGAAATCAAACTTGAACCTTGACTAGGATGTATCTTATGGAAAAGATTTTCATTACAGACTAAACCATACAAATAACAGGTATAATATTGATAAGTATGACCCCGAAACCATGTAAATATAGAAGGTGAAACAGCACCACAATGAAAATGCAAATATGGCCATGATGATAATTGAAATATTTTCTACAACCGTCGTTTTGGTAGAGCCTCAACATCCCAATATAATACCTGGGTATTCAATAACAGCCATTCACAGCAGTTGTAAAATAGTGAGGTCACATCCATTTCACTTATCCCCAAAATGTGTAAGCCTTTCTTTACTTCGGTGTACCATCTGGTAAACGCAATTGAACAGTAACTTCTGCATGCATTATTAAATCTCATAACTCTGTGAGACTAATTGACTGGACCGTAGGGATAATCTTAGCTCTGTTTTCCATATATGTCTATTATAAGTTACTGATAATGCATGATATATATATATATATAAACTCAATAGGGGTTGGCAAACTACTTTGTTATGAATCATCACACTCATTCCATAGAAAAACTGCCTTTCCTGTCAAAAGGCAAAAGAAACTCTTTGTGAAGAATGTAAATCTTTCCACCACTGGAAATATAATAAAATTTCTAACTAGAAGAAAATGTATATAAAAACACACATAATTGAGTGTTCAATTTAAACCAATATTGGATCAACAATGATGGACAAATTTTAGGTACGAGTATTCTTCAATATGAAAGAAATTTCATAGTGCTGCTTCAATTAAAAAAAACTATGAAAATCTTTTCCAAAACAACGATCGACAAGGAATTTTTCTCAATATGTTCTAAAATTATTACATGCTGGTATGAAAAGAGTAAATTTTACCTGATTGAGTCGATTCAGAAAGGTTTACATGATATGCAATCATTGCTCCAATATCGTATATTTCATGGAAAATATAAATTAATAAACACAAACATGTGAAAGAATGACCAATGGCCATCATCTTAATATTCTGGGGCTTTCATGATGACACATTGATTCATTCTTTAATAGAAGACGTCATACAATTCAAATGCACACTTAAAACATTATACTTATATACGGTCATAATTAAGTTAAGAGACTAACAACAGATAGCATTTTTGTACTTTAATATATCTTTATTCGTATTGACAATTAAAAGTGAAATTCAGGTTTTGTTTTAGATTTATATTGCTAATGAATGAAACAACCAGATACTTCAAAAATTTGGATAAATTCACAATAATATTATCATCAAGATACTGCCTCTCGCAGGAGTCAAGGCCATTTACAGCACAGTCTGTGGTAGGTTCAGTCAGCATATAATGAAAATATACACATATTAATGTCAAATTCCCTAACAAATGATCCCATAAACCTGCAAGTATTGAAAGACTATAAGATTTGCCACATCAACCCCGTTTATCCATCCCTTCTATTTTATTGACAAACAACTTTCGACCAAACCTTCAAAAACAAGCAAAACCAGACACACCTGTCAGATATACACGTTACAAGTTATACATTAACAGAGAACTATATGGTCCCCATCATACATCACTGTTTTATCACTTTCACAACAGACTAGTAATATACAGTTATTACAAGGTTTGATAAGGTTTTGGATGACGACTCTGGGAGAGGAATGATATAGGGGAAATGAAAGACGACAGACTTCCACTTATTTGTCATTAAAAGATGATTACCTTACACGAAATTCTGGTTTTGATCTACACATGTTAGTTAATATTTACAAACCTTGAAATATTCCATATCTCTCAATATAAAAATATTCTGACATCATTTTCAACTGGTACATGCAACATAAAAGAGAACCAATCCAGTAAATGTATCTACAGCTATTATTTAAGTATTGAAATAAAAAAAGGTCTTCCTCAGATTCTCATATCATGGTACTTAAATCTGTTGAATGACATTCACCCTGACAAATAAAAGTGTGACTACAAATACATCATAAAAGGTTGAATCATATTCAAACCCAATACATAAAACTTAATGGTATGGCTTCTCAAGCATTTATATAAAATAAACACTATTTAATACATCAGTAGCTGATAAGAACATTGCTAGACACCCTTCACATCTTTCACACATTCCTACAAGTTTCTTCCAAATTGAAAAGCGCCTATGTTTGTTCAAAAAATGAAATCCATGTTTTAATTGTGACAGTATGAAATGGGATTTAGCTATTTCAAAATAGTTATTTACATCAAATAGACTCCTGGCATCTTTGTATCACTGTATGTCTCTATATATTGAAGGAGTGATGAACATTGTTACTGCACTGACATCATCCATGGCCTCTATTAAAGAATGGCACATTCTCTGTTATTCATCCATTGATTTGGTCCCTGCTAATTAGTTCACATCCATTTATAACTATTCTCTAGAAGATTCATCTTCTTCTGTCAGCAGGACACTGTCACTGGCATTATACCGAGTTCCCTGAAACTGCTTCAGGTGAATCTGTAACAGGTTTTGATATAGGACCAAGTGATCAACAGAAGACAGCAATAAGTGATTAAAGTGACAAGAAACAAAGGGTAACTAGAAATTATTTGGATCAGCATATGCAGAGTTACGGTAAGGATTTTTTAAATCACTTAATTGTGAGAAATGACAGAAAAAAAAACCCTGGAACAACAATAATATCAAATACTCTTACTTGTATAAAAATGTTAACTTCATCACATCGACTTAGGTAGGGGAAATTTCCTCCAGACTTAAGATGGGCTTTTTTGGCATCTGGGTAACATTTGTACATTTCCTCTCGTGCAGAAAAGGACAAGGCACAGTCATCAAATACCTAGATGGAAATTTCATATAACTTCAAATTTTATAAAACTTCAATTTCATCACATTCTATTTACAACAGATTCACACTTAAACCTCTCACCCTTTATTCCATTTATAACTAGACAAATGGAACAATTCCTTGGTACATCTGATTCTGGGTCAATAATTTGACATAATCTTATTCTGTGATCAATGTCTATATACATAGTTACACCAGTGATTCTGGGGTCAAGGTCCCTATGACCTAACACAACATGACAACATTATTTGATGGTTCTCATTATAACATAATTTCTGTTTCTCTCTCGGTTCATGCTTCTTTTAAGACATCTGTAGACCATAACAAAATTTAAAACAACTCAAAACAGTAAACAAATGCATTGCTGTATATCATAACAAATGTATTTTCAAATTACAAATATATTATCTGATTTTTAAAAATTGACCAGTGAAACTAACAACTTTACTACCAAAACTATACTTACATCCAAGATGGTGATGGGCACCTGTGACACCTTCTGCGGTTCTACATAGCAATTCATACAGTTTAATGTCAGACGAGAAGCTAGCTGCTGCTGAGACAGGTTATCCAGCTATGGATACAAATAGACAACAATACATTTTGAGAGGTTTTGATGGCTTCTGTGAAATCATTAATTATCACAGTGCATTTATTTTCATCGATTTTGTGGGTACTCTTAATCCTAGAATTCTTATGTCCATTAACCAATGGTAGTTAATGGACATTTATTGAGCTATATTTATCATCAAAATCAATTGTCCATGATAGTGATAAAACTGATGTTTTATGTATCAAGAAAATTAATATCTTTGTATGCATTTCATATCAGACATTTTGTTGTATGTCTCTGTATTGTTATAGTTCCTTAATGTAAAAGAAATAATTTCAAAAAATCATCGGTGGTATCAAGTATATTATCTTTGTTAACAGATCATACTGGAAAAAATATGTAAAGTAACCAAGCTGAATTACATGGTTAGCATGGAACTGACTACAACTGATATGTCAGTGTCTTATAAAACAATATCTTTCTTCATCTTATAACAAGTGGGAAAATTGCAAACCTCCCAATTACATACATGGCACATGTTACCTGAAGGTAAGACCTAATTTTGCCAAAATTTTCTCATGACAAGCCCAAGTATGTATACTTCAACCAGTTTCAAAGCCAAGAAAAACAACAGTAATATATTTATTTTGATTCCTTGCACTCGTATCATGTGTAGTTATTACCTTCTCAACTAGGAAGTCAACAGAATCACATATACTAGGATCAGATGGACCCTTCTCAAAGTTTCCCATCACCATTTTCTTCAGAATTAATGCAGGCATCATCCAGAATCTATTTAAAAGAAATGTATATTTACATCTATTTCATATAGAAATTTTTTAATCATGAAGTCAAATAGTGATAATCACTAAAGTTTGATATTAATATGGATATCTAAACTCTGTCATGTTTCTGTTTAGGTCGTTTTTGCATTTTACATTTCATAAACAGCTTTATGTATCACTGGCATCAATATTAAGTCTAAGCGTTAATTTCTATATCAATGTCAAAAATTACATTTCAGAACATTTTCTTCAGACTGGTAATTCTTATAAGTTCTTATAACAGCAACCAGATTTGAGTGTGACATTGTGTTGATTACATCAGAGACGTATATATCACATATGTGCAATATATGTCTCTGATTACATGAAGGTGGTTGGTCAAGAAGGCAATCTAAATAAACTGTAGTGGGCCAGTATTTAACAGGAAGTGGAGGGGCCAGAAAATCTCACACACTTATGATCAGGTGTTAAACAGAAGCATAGCCGAATCGTCTACAGTATATTGTTATCATCTTGTGTAATTTTTTTCCCCTATAATCTGTTTACCACCTCATCACATTATTTTTAAGCTTAGTGAACACAGAATTACATTACAGCCAAAAATGTTTGTTGATTCCTAACCATCTGGTACAATCCGTACATCCGTATATATCTAAACAAACTTCACCATTCCCATTAATATTGGTATACACAACACCAGAGTCTCTATTAATTATAATCATATACATACACACTTACGTGGGAGCTGAATTGGTCTGTTGAAATATTGATGTATCATAAAAAGAATTACATAGAATCAGTGAAGCAACTCTAGGAGACAGATGCGTGAACTCTGTAAACTTTTGAGCCAGGAATCCACCAAGTGAGGATCCAAATAAATGAACCTGTCAAAATCAATCATTTTTCATTGTTATTTAATATTAGTGATGATAGATGTTCAATGTTGCAGCATTTTAAAACCTGTCACATAGTGTTATCAACGCTATATTTGAGAGGGGTTTCCCACATTAACTGAGTGGTCAAGCTGGACATTGGAAATCTAATGTGAACATTGGAATAGCATAGAAATGTAACTGGAAGTGTATAAAATATACCTGATCAATAAAACAAAACACTTCTACTTTGATGTCACTTTCAGTCTTATACAGAAACAAAATACAATACAGTACTTATATCCAATGATCACCACAGATGGAATAAGATGTTTACTTATTGTTGTAATAATTATCAGTATGCAGTCAAACTTCGATTTTTTCTAAGTTCAATACATCGAGACTTGGAATCATGCGTGGTGAGTTATATCAATGTTTTCATGTTCATGGCTATATATAGCAAATATCAAAACACAAGTTTAAATGAAAAGATGCATTCTATCTGAAAACAAAACATTTTTATTCATGGAAAAAAAAAGAAATTATCTTTAAATAGAAATCAATGAGAAATTGATCCTTCATGCCACACAGAATAATCATTTTACAGGTTGATTTAAAGTGAAATGATGCAAATTATTAAAGTAGTCTTCATACGTTACAGTAATTATTTTAAGACTGATATATAAACATTATAGGCACTTCTTAATTCAAAAGAGAGCAAATAATTTTCATAACGTATTCTGCCAAAAATGAAAAGTACTATCATCACACATCTTCAATTGAATTACAAGAGTGTTTGTCGATGTTCTGATGATGTCAAGCCTGAATCAATCGTAGAACGTATGATTGACAGATAAACCACTGTTTCTTATGCTTTTATGATAAACAACTGAAAAATGACACTTTGGGAATGAGTGCAATCATCATACAAGTGATAGGATTTCCTCTGGTTGTTTTCAGAATTCTATAAATTAGACCTAACTAAACGCCATTACAACAATGGCAGCGGTGAAAATCACACAATGTCCTATTACCTTTGATTACATATCATGACGTTAGAACGCTGTTAAATTTAATCTGTGTCAAGTCTTTAATTAACCTTGTAACACAAAGCTAATGAAAGCAGGCTATTGTAATCCCATTGTCAGGTAGCACTCTTTGTTAAAATGTGTGAAATTCTGCCACTGGGTGAAAATACCTGTACAGTGCAGGTAAATGTTTTGTTCGAATCATGAGTTGTCAGTGACTGTGTTATCATAGGTAAAGGTCTGTGAAAAAACTTCCAATATATGGAAAAGTTTGATTTATAAGGCGGTAAGTATGTATAGGAATAAAATCTGGGACTGGACAAAAACTTGGTTACATTGAGAAATTCTAATCGTCAAACTTTGATTCCTAGAAGTTTGACTGTAATTGTTTAAGCTAATCCTATGCAAGTTGCACAGCTAAGACAAGAATGTTTACCCTATCAAGCTGAAGGTGATCCAATAATTTTCTAAATCCATCACAGAATTCCTTCATGGTCCAATACACTGGATATTCAACCTACAAATCAACAAAAAAATAATTACCTGTCACTACTTTTCTGTCATCTGTTACTTCATATCAGTTACCTGTCACTACTTTTCAGTCATCTGTTACTACATAAAAGTTACCTGTAGCTACAAATCAATTACCTGTAGTTACATATCAATTACTTTGACAGATCTTCTAATCAAACCTTAAGCTGTTACAAACATGAAAGCAAAATTATTTCTTAAAATATGATGTATATAATAATCAAATTTATTGATTACATAAGTCAATAAAACCAAAAGTCAATATTTTGGTAATATATGTGACAGAGAAAACTAAAATAACAATAGCTCCCACCACACAAAAATAACTAACTCCTTCTAAAAGTAGGCAAATTAACATAGTAAACAGTGATAAAATTGTTTCCCATACATACATTGCATTTATTTCACACCTGACAACTTAATCCTAAATATGTACTTCAGAAATCTGAGTTTACATTCAAGCCATCCTCATAGCATTGAAACATTGAAATGAAGAAGAACCCAAGTTCTTTTCAAGGAATTTCATTAAAACTATTAATATGTACTCCATTAAATCTGACAAGAACTCCATTGTAAATCCTGAATCTAGGATATAGGCATTTCAGTTATCATTCTGACTTGGTTTGTGTACTTACAGCTATCACTCTATAACCATGTGCTGACAAAGCTAGCAATTGACGAAAATACACATCGGCAGTGCCGCTGGCAGGGGGGAAACAAATCATTGGACATCTTACACTCTTTGGTCCAGCATCATATAAAGCCCATTCTTTAGTTTGATCATCATCTACAATGAACTGAAACATACAAAAAAATATATCTATAGAGCAAACACTTCATGCCAACATCATCCAGCAAGTCAAATTGATAGCAAACAAGCCGGACATCTTTTTCTACCATGATTATATTCAATAATCTGCTGAAAGACCAAGAGGCCAGAATAAGTATGTACTTAAAATTTTATCTAACATGGTGTTAAGACTCCTCATCATGCCACAAAAAAAAAACAATCATTATAAAGACAAAATATTCATTTTTAACTTAAGATTGAAGTGCCAAGGCACTTATAGACATGGTGTATGATTGGCTGAAATAAAGGCATGAAGTGGTATATTATTAGTATGGAAAGGCAGAGAAAACTGAAAAACCACATGTCAACATGCCCTTTTCATCATATACACTTGGATATCTTTCTTATTCATTCATTCATTCATTCATTCAGTTATCCAAAGACAAGAAATATGATGGTGGAATAACATTCATCAGAGACAGGTCACACAGATGATGTTTATGGTGGTTCAAGTTTTACCCTGATGAGAAAAGTATAATTGAAGAGATAAAAACTGATCAGGCCACCTCAAGTCTGACTCTGAAACATAATCTGCATGTTTGGACAATGTGAACACTCGCAGTGTAGTCATTAGGCTATAAACAATGAACATAATACAAGTACAATTAGGCTTACTGTAGTAGACTCTAACATATCAGCTGAATATTATTTTTAAAGCCTATGGGAATAGGTGGAGATTTCAACATCGATGATCAGTTATCATAATTAGTGAATGAGAACATAACAATTTTTTATTCCTTACTTGATTAGAAACGTCATAAACTGCTTTTGTGATCAACAGCATTCCACCAATTTCAAGTTTATTTGTGCATTGTATATCTTTAAATACATAGTGTATATGTTAAAATGATAAGTCCTTTTCATACTAAGTCTGCAAAAGTTGAGAATACAGGTCACCTTACTAGCCTTAGTGTGCTGCAATTTCTATTTAGTAAAGCTGTATAGTGTCTGTGAGGTTTAAGTTTTTCATTATTCCTCCCTATTACACATGTGTATATAAGCACCAAAACCTGACAATATGAACATTTTTCTTTATAAATAAAAATCCCAATGTGGCTGTTTCTTGTCCATAATTATGAACAATGAATGCTGCCATTTCACCGTAAAAAGCTAGCTCTAGACTAGTCAAGTATCAGTTTGTTCAAATATTTTAATAAAAATTTTTCATTGAACATCCTTTCTTAATTGTTATCATACATTTTTCAAAACTTTTTCATTAATCCATTCGTGTAAGAGACTGGCTCTCTAAGACTGAGAGAACCAACGTGTCACTGGAAATGACACATTTCCAGTTATAAAACACTGTTGGAAATTGGTTGCCTTCTCAATTGTTTCTGTTTTTCCAGAGAAGAACGAAAATGCTTCAAAAGTTAAATCAAGACATAGAATAACATTGCCACACAATTAAGTGTGTATGAAACTTCATAAGGATGGACAACAGGAGACAACTCAAACAATTGAAGATAGGTCTACCATTTTCTTTCAAGCCAACAAAATTCATAATAATATGCGCATAAAATAGTTCGGGAATTCTTACAGTGAAAACAAATTATTCTATGAGATATTTAAATTTTCTTTCTAATTTGTTGATCTTATATATATACAATGTATATGCATTTTGCAAAAGAACAGCACCAATTACTTCAAGTAATATTTTCAAAACAGGCGCTCACAGTGTAAATGGTAATGCTTTACCTTTTTCATAGGAACTGTACCCCTGAAGCTGTTGTATTCAGCAGAATTGGCTATGTCACTCATCTTTGTCAAAAATTTCTGTCCAGCATCACAAACTGTAAAAATAAATTAAAATTTCTGCATTTCTATTCAAGTGAGAAGTAAAGACTTTGTGTATAGGTGTGTTGTGATCAATAACAGTAACACTACAAGAAAATGAATAGATAGTCCCTTGTATCCATGAATTCAGTGACAATAATTGTTCACCTTGTCATCATCTGTCAGTTTATTTCCTTAATCTATGTTAGATCACTTGAAAATTCTACTCACTTACATGTATACCTTACTGAATAATAAATCTAACTTCCATTAAAAAAGTTTCAATTGTAGAAGAAATTAGGCTGGAAAAGAAAAGGATTGATAATATGGCAATTCAGAAGAACTCCTTGGACCATAAATATGGCCAATACAGAAATACCTGCATCCAAGCTCCATAGCAGCATGGTACTTTCACCATGTTTCATGCATTATCCGAAGTTTCCACAGGCCGTGACTATGGATGTTTGGCAGAAATTTTGACAGACTGGTGTGACACCCAAGCATCAGTGCATTTAGAACACTTGTTATGTTAGTGTTTAATTATGAATAAGGCACTAATTATAACTAAATACAGTGAAATCAGTATATGGTGGGGCTATTGACTACATACCATCTTTCAATCAAAATAAGATACAGTTCAATTAAGTATTAAACTGTACCATGCATAAGGTCCGTACTTCCTGGACTCTTCAGTGTTGTTGAAACAAATGAGGCGACTGAGAAAACCCGTTTAAAATCTCATTTGGTACAAAACCAAAAACACGTGTACATGTTTCTTGCCACAGTGGGACATAAAAAGACAATATACGTGTGTTTGCTGCCTATTCTATGTGCTTGCTTCAGGTGTCAAAGTAAACAAACTTTTCTCTTCCACTGGCCAGCGAACGCCTGTGCTTGGAACCGTCTTATATCAGTCACTGTCAGCTGTCAATCTCAAAGATGCTAATTTGACACAAAAGTCTGCTGCTTTCTCCAAAAGTCATGGAATGATTTAGCATAGAACATACTCAAAAGATACGGATATACGTGCAATTAAACTGATCTTTGTTGAATATGTTCGTGACATCGTCATTTCCTACCAGAATTTGTCTTTCTCTTTCCTATGTTTTCATCCTACTTCATCCCGGAAGTGGTAGGTCACTTGATCATAATCTCGTGGATCGCGTGATTTGGAATGTGGCTTTGAAGCACGTGATGCGTTGCTAAGTAAACTATTGCTAATGTCTGAAAACCGGGAAGTGTGAATCTGAAAATGGCAACAATTTCAAACGATAAGAGAACCGTCATCATAGCTGCAAGGGAGAGAGGTAAAACGTTTTACAATCGCATTTTTATTTTCATGTAGTGCCTTAAAAATAACACGAGTTTCCTCTGGAAACAAATTCTTTGTTGGCCTTTTTAGACCTGTCATCAAACAAAGTTTAAACAGCTGAAGGGCTATGGGAAACATTTAAATAATTCCTACATAAGAATGTAAAGGAACACACATGATTTAAAAAAGTTAATAGATAAAAGAAAGAGACTCTATAAACATGTGAAAAAAAACCTGGTAATCCATTCATAAAAGAAAAATTCAAATACTTGAAGCATCATATACAAAAACAACTGAGGCAATCCTATTGGAAATACATACAAGGTATTGTCACCCCCACTACAGACTCAGTTGATTACAAACCAATGAGAAAATTATGGACATATATTAAACATAAAAAATCCTACAATGGCATAGGGGCACTGAAGTATGAACTCCACGCCGAGCATCCAAAATTTCCCCCATTCCTACATCATCTTCTAAAGGTCATTAGATACAGGTTGTTCCATCTGATTGGAGAACAGCTAGCATTGCTCAAGTGTACAAAAAAGGCCTGAAAACGAATCCAGAGAACTATCGTTGCATTTCACTCACTTGTATTTGGTGTAAATGACTAGAACACATTTTAGTCAGTAACGTCATGAACCATGCTGATAACAATATTCTATATCCCTAACAGCATGGATTCAGACAATCCAGGTCTTGTGAAAACCAGATAATCAATTCCTAGATGACATCTCTTGTAAGCTGGAAGATGGCATACAAACAAGTGTATTTATCATGGACTTCAGTAAGGCCTTCGACAAAGTGAGCCATTCACTACTCATCCATAAACTTAAGGGCTATGCAATAACTGGGAAAACTATTGCCTGGATATCTAACTTCCTAAGTTGTAGAACCCAGAGTGTCATAGTAGAAGGGGAAATATCCAATCTTACCCCAGTAAGATCATGGATCCTCCAAGACTAGGTCCTTGAGCCAAATATTTTTTTATACTACATTAATGACATTGCTGAGGATATAAATTCCACCATCAGACTATTTGCAGATTATCCTATCACATACATGGCCATAACATCGCTTCAAGATGCCATAGATTTGGATAGATTAGCACTTTGGGAGGAAAAATGGAAAATGGCTTTCCACCCTAAAAAATTGTGGACATATTTTAGTTTCATAAAAAAAAATACTATTAGATTCAAATGAAGAATCATAAAAATTACTTAGTTTTCTAATGCCAGTGATGCAAAAAAGAATTGTGTATTTCGGGCTCAGAGAGTGCTGTAGCAGTCAATATAGAATTTTATTTGTAAATAGTTTGAACATGTGTTTTGTTTTAAAAACCCCTCAAAAGTTATCAGAAATAATTTGTCTAAAAAGGTAGCACAGCTTTCTTCTAGATAAACTGTTTACTTTGATAAAAAACCAGTCATGTACTTTTTGAGGAAAATGGTATCTATACTAAGTAGAGCAAGGCAAGAACCTAAATTTCTTCAGTATAGCTTCACAAAGAGATACAGCATCATATCTATTCTACATCCTCAGATTATTGTATGTATGTATGGCATATTGCAATACCACTTACATTTCTCCCACCAACCCCATTACTTAGATTACTTAGATTAAATAAGACTTTAAGATTTAAGATTTTAAGGTAGGACAGATTGCTGAAAGTAGTTAGTCTTTCCTACAAAAGTAGCTGAGATCAGCAAAGCCATGCAGGAACAAGTTTTGTTGCTCGCTATTTTATATCTTCTATTATTCATTCAATAAATTTTACATTCAAAGAACTCCTGATTGTCAGATGTAGTCTAAATGTGCATGAACTGAAGTACTTCAATTATATCTACCTTTTCTTTCTGTGATATACCTAAACATTCTAACTACTGCAGTAGGCCTTATTCATTTATCTTGGATATGAAATAAAGTTTTTACGTTGATATTTCACCCATATGTTGTTATACAGTTTCATCCATTTAATGTTTGTCACAACCAGGTCTTTTTCACAGCTTCCATGTCTCTCTATGTTCTGTTTATTAATTATTATTATTTACACTGTGTACATGTACATAAAAGTAGATTACCTTTGTTTCCAATTTTGTATATATGTAAACAATTAAAACTGTGTTTTAATCTAAAATGGTATTCAGTTGAATTCAGACACAACATTACATTTATATTTCTAACCAACAGGTCCTGGTCCAGGAAGATATGCTCTCCCATCGTCTATAGGGTTCATGTCCCATGACTGCACCAAGCAGATGAAACCTGCTTACTCCTTTGGGCGCAGACTGTATGATGATTGTAAGTTATTTTCTCTGTTTAGAGTCTGCTGTTTGATATTTGGTTGAATGGTCAGATAGCAATATTTCTATGATGAAGAAATATGTGAAAAAAAAACATTGTTATTCAAACTTATTTTACAGTTAACTATCAAAATTGTTTGTTCATATTAATATCAACATTATAATGAACACTAGCTGTATCTATAATCAAGTCCTGTCTGTCATATCAGGTGCAAAGTGAGTAATGAAAGTACTAAAATATCTTAAGTAGAAACTTATTGTTAGACAAAGATTTGCCCTTGAAACCCACGCATTTCTAGTAAAACTTTAAAAATATCATTAAATTAGTAAATCACAAAATTAAAATAAACATGTCATTTAAAAATCTTCTTTCAACTGTGACTGACAATGGCATGAATCTGTTCACATCTTTTCTGATAAATTTTGACAGGACTGTAGTTTTACATGAAATTTAATCCCAGTGAATCTGTACGTGTTATTGTGGTTTCACTTTCATTTGTGAATGACTATGAAAACTTCAATCTTAACAGTGTACAGAAGTGATAGCAGCCCAGGACCTGCCTACTTCATTGATCCAAGGATTACACGGCACGGAACTGATGGTACACCTGCCTACTCCATGTTGGGACGTCAACATGATCCAAGTAAGTCTTCCAGGCTTTGTCAGCACTGCATGTCTACCTACATCTTATATCTAAGAATTCTACATTCCTCATTAGATCTGTAGCTGTAGTGATGTTCGTAGATACCAAACACACCAACATAGCAGGTATCATGACATTTGGACTATTTACCCTTCATCCCAAGGACACAGTGACTTAACCCTATAGTGCTTTTTGTAAAAGAATCTCAAAACAGATTGTTATAATAAGACCAAGAATTATGAGTGGAGTCCAAGAGTTAAGACTTTCGGGCCAGGAGTTGTGACTTGAAACTGTGTTACGACTCGGGATTCTGACAGGAGGTCAAGAAATAAAAAAAATCAGACAAGATCATGAAATATGACTTAAGGCCAAGCGTGATAACTCAAGATTATGACTAGAGGCCAAGAATTATAAATTGAGGCCATTTTTTTCTCACCTGCATTGAATTTCTTGTTAGATATTGTGTACATTCAAATGAGTTTGTAGGGTATGTAAGCGATCTGATTTCAGAATACAATAGTCTTACAACCAGAAGGAAAAAAATGTTCATTAGTTTATGTAACAACATACTATCTCATAAAAGTTTATTTGTCTACACTTTGTTACCTGGTGTCTCTAACCAATTCAACCTGTTTTCACTTTAATCTTATTGCAATCTCATCAAAACACATTCCATCTTATGTAGATTATGATACAACTGAAAATTCTTGTCAATTTCATTCCTGTTTCATACACCATATGCTTCAAACTTGCTGTTTCTCTGATGAAGGTGACATTGTAGTGACACAAAAATTCAATTTTTCATTGCGATAAGAACTACAATTTAATAAATATATGCTGTACTTACCAACCTGGAGAAAACATTTCACAACAATATAATCTTTAGATGTATTGTATTACAAACTAACATATCATTGGATACTGAATTACAGACACCTTCAAGACTCCATCCCCAGGAGCCTACTCCCCAGAAAAGGTACACCCACAGGGTGAGAGACACGCAGCCAGATATTCCATCTCTGCCAGAACTCCGTATCGACAGAGAGACCAGAACCCCTCTCCCAATAAATACTGCCTACCTCCAGTCCTTGGTAATAAACAGCCAAATAAGCCAGCACCTCCTGCGTACTTCATGTCCAGCCGACAAGACATAGGTAGTTATCTAGAGGATTTGGCCAAGGCCCCAGGGCCAGGCCAGTACAATGGAACCCATCCAGATAGCTACATGGTCAAGGCTCCGCTGTATTCAATGAGGAGCAGAAGTTACATGCCAGGAGACAACACTAAGAAACCAGGTCCTGGACAACACAGCCCTGAGAGAGTCAGCATCAACAAGCAGGCTCCCCCACAGCACTCTCTCGGTATCCGCCATTCAGAGTTCATTTGTCCTCTGATCACTGAATGCTGAATCTAACGAACATGCTTTTGTTTATATTGAAGTGCAATATTTTTACATACTTTTGTATCAGAAATAATTTTACAGATAACTTAAATGTCAATTTGAATTTTTAAAAAACATTTACCAGGTGTTTTTGGATTTTGTACCTATACTTTCTAACCTGTGAACAAAAATGAACACTGATTTTCTGTGATCTATAAAACCACTGTTTACATTGATCGTATGGTGGTCTAAGTTTATCATCTTAATATATATCCAAATAAATATTGAAACACTTTGGTATTTGTTTTCCTTCTTTCTCTGTTCTAGTACATGTATGTAGTTATGAATGATTCACGATTGATCACGAAATCTAAACTGTACACTTTGCAGCTGAAAATGTGACCTGTGTTGACCGATCCCCAGATAAAAATTGTACTATTATCACTTAGTTATATAAATAAGCAATAGATGAGGATGGTGCAGATCCAACACAATTAGACTCTGGTATGAAATACAAATCAGTTTCCCCTACCACTGAATCAGGTTACAACAAAAGGTGTTCAGTTTCCCAATGATGAGTCGCAGCTTTTTTTAAAAAGACATTAATACAACTTGAACCTTTTTAGAACAAGACAATACGGCAACCATTTCCCTGCCAACTAATTGTCTCACCAAGATGACCCCATACAACAAGTATGAACTTCCAGTGACCTGTAGTAGTGTAGACTCTGGACAAACATTTCGTTTGATGTAGGTCAAAATTCAAAATGCAAGTCAGAGTGACCTACTTTGATACTGACACACCACCTCACCAAGGTGAACCCAATGTAGGAGATTGGACCTTAACAAGCTTATCCTTTGATGTAGGTCAAGATGATGGTCAGAGTGATCTACTTTTGTTATCAAACACAGTCTCACAAGGTGAACCCATATCCCAGGTACATGTATCAAATTCAACCAAGTTGAACATATATTTCAAGTCTTAAATGGATAGATGTCATTTCCTAACTGATAAAAAACATTGTAACATTTAAATATCTGTTAAAATTTGTGCACTGTGTTAACTATATTCAAAGTTTGCTTAACCATTTTATTGAAAATGTCCAAAACAACAGGAATAAAAAAAATAGCAACCCAACATTGCTTCAAATCATTATCGTTTAAAGTTAGTAAACATGTCTTTGTGCATGGGTGATGCACGAAAATTCAGAAACAAAGTGGCAGGTTAAAACACTGTCGACGAGTGTTAGCCTGACTCTGATAATCTTTTTCCCAAAAAAAACTATAATCTTGTGAATAGCCCGATTGAAGTATTTCAATGCTTGCCTGAAATCAAATGCAAAGAAAAAAGTAAACGAAATCTAACAATTTACTCCATTTCAGTTCTCTGTGATTAGTATTGTAGGGTCCAGACAAACTTCTTTTTCAGGCCACCTGAGATAAGCAATATCGAATATAAAGGTTAAATAAAGGATAGTTATCAAGTGTCATGAAACAGAAATTGTGACACTAAATATAGACCTTATCAATACATGCATTCCATCAAAACTGTCATCCTATACTGATAATTCTTATAGTTATTTACAGTGGGAAATAAGCAACGTTAAGCTTGAAAATACAATTTTTCTATGAAAAGTTACAGTAAAGTCTAAAAAAAATATTCCTCCACAGGAAGAAATGTTAGACCCATTTTGGTAATTAAAGCACCATGTTTCCTTTCATGAAGAGTAATTGATTCTACCATATCTGGATCTTAAGAAGAAGATTTTTGAAATCTGAGTCAATTTGTCCCCTTTTTGCCTCCCCCTCATGCCCCAGGGGATGGGGACTGTGTAATTCACAATTTTGGTTCATCATAAGCCAGACAAGGTTTCTCCAAAATTTCATTGAAATTGGATTTGAGGTTTTCGAGAAAGGAAAGTGTTAAATTGTTTATGGACGCACGAACCCAGATGAAGGGTATGCTAATAGGTCACCATGAGACTTTGTCTCAGGTGACCTAAAAATGTAAATTATGAAGGTTCAGATGATTAGCACTGAAGGAGATAGGGCCCAAACTTTTTCCTTCTTGTAGGTCAAGCATCATAATTTTACTTTCTGATGCACGGACATCCCTAGAAGAATCAATGGTACTACATCAGTAGATAGAGTAGATAAAATTGTATTGGAAAAAATGAGTTAAGGCCTTATTACTATGTTCATTGTCAAACACATACTAAATCATGATTAGTGTTGCCTTCATTGTGTGACATCTTCATGGCTAGTCCAGAGTTCATAAAATATCAACCCTTTACTTGTACCAGATCATCAATTAAAACAACAAGAAATAATGTACATCAAAATTTATTTGTCAAATTCAAAATGTTCAAGTAGGAAAGAGATATGTATTTACAAAAGATCAGAAACAATAGGATAGTAATAGAATATTGTAAGATGATTACACTCAAGAACAAATGAGGAAGGAGAAATCACGAAAGGAAAAAAATATGAGAGTAATACAATTCATATACCAGAGTACATCAGACTTTCAATCTTTGATTTTTTCAAATCTCGAAAATTACTGTCAGGGCAAGCGGAATAAACCTGGTCAAACTTTGAATTCTTGTAGTGCAACAAAAAGTTTTAAAATCAGTGGTAAGAAAAACAAGAGAACCTGAACAATAATGAAATAAACAGGAAAATTATGATTATACAAATATTTATCGGTAACATATACAGTATTGATATAATAATGTCGTGTCCTTCAACTTCATATAAACATCTGGATTTTAACAAGACTATATTTGGCAAAATATTTTCAAAAACAATAACTTATTAAGCCTATATAACATCACATTAAGATAGGCATACCTGCCGAGTAGGAACAGTGATCTTGAGTAAGAAAAGCCTAGACAACACAACCTATATGTGATTTACCAGCGACTAAGAAAACAGTAAACCTGTCCATGTTATATTGGGTCTTATCTATATGATTACATAAGAAATCCAAACCTGTAAAACTTTTTTTTATCATCCCTTGATAATTGTATTCCAATATCTAACAAGCACAAACAAGTTTGATCATTTGTATACTCTTTGAGGTTAGTGAGTTGTTTTTTCTTTTTCTTTTTTTTTTTTTATAAAATGAGCTATCACAATAAAGCTCTGCTGTAAGGACCATCACTTTAATATTTGCTATTGAATGTCTATAGACTGATAGTCTGTAGCTCATAGTGAGTATAAATATGTGGATTTTGTATATGAGCCTTAGTGAACACAAAGATATACAATCAGTATCAATTATTATAATTCATGTTTGGATGTTACCAGACAGCAACATCTAAATCAACAATATTCCAGAACAGGTCATGTTGATATTAACAAGAGAATTTTGGTATGTACATGTCCCTGGCAGACATTACAGTCACTATATATGTAGAGCTAGTAGTTTGACACTTGTCTACGTGTATGCACCTAAAATAACCTGCTTTAGTAGCACAATACAAGTTATTTGTAATCAAAATATGATACTATTTGCACAAAACCCTTAAATCACACATGAATCTACATATGAATACATAATGTGACTTCATTCATCTACTGTATTAACATGTTTGTATAAGCACACATTAAAAAAAATTGTTTTCTTTGTCTTTTAACAAACAGCCTGTAGTTTATATTACCGACATGATACCAGGGTGTTAGGAGTGGTATTGCCACATTCATAAAATGATTTTCATTGAGCTCAATTAGTAGTTGTACAGCTGGTGTGGTATTCTTTATAAAATATCAAATTCATGCTTGAAAAATTTGCAGATGTTGCATTTTGATATTTGCAGAACAATCTCATTTTCTGTCAATACCTAAATAAGTCAAGAATTTAAGGAATTTACAAATTAAAGATACCAAACCACTGTTCTATTTTTGATTTGAATAAACCAGTCACAACCTTCATCAATAAGAAGGATAATTTTTTTCTAACATAATTTCAAATAAATTAAATGAGCATCAAACACTTTTCAAAACTCTCTAATTATATTAATGGATCATTTTCATCCTGATATGTTTGAAGGTAGATATTTTCAACATATTTTAATAGTTTCAGTCCATTATATAACTAATGTCTGAAATTTCACCTGTTCAGGGAGTGTATGCTCACAGTTCATTCTGAAGTAGACAGTGTTTTACAGTATCCATGCTTACTTTTTATTCCTTTAAACGTTTCAACACATTATCTCAAATTCTCTTTCACAAAACATTTCAATCAGTGCCTAGCATGGCCATATCATCCTCTCACACCCTTGCAGAACAATAAAACTTTATTAAAGTCATTTTGAATCACCACATTAGTCTTTACTACAATAGATACTTGTCTCATTACAATACATTATTAAGATATACATTTTTGATTCAATATGCTGATAAATTCAAGTAAATAACAGAAGATTTAAGGTCAATTTTCATTTTAACTGAATTTTGAATTTTAGTTCAAGTTTTCTTTATCAATTATAAGATTCAAGAACATTCTTTACAAATTCATACAATTTAATGTGTAAATACAAATACAATACCATGTTCAACACAGCTGACTTTTTTCTGATACATTCCTGACAGGATAACTTTCTGGAAAACCTTTATATAAAGTGTAACAAGCAATTACACTTCACAATGTGTATCAGCCTCTCAGCAGTCACTTGATGAGGAAGAATTTGTTTCCAATGTCCCAGAGAAGAATGATCAGGAATGGTTTGTAATGATGAATGAATTTCATGATAACGGTGATGGAAATGATAACAGTAGATTTCAGGATCATGAACAGGTGTTTGTCTGCATCATCGGTAGACCACGCCGAAACAGAAGAATGTGAGGTTCTGAAATTGGAACACATCAGCATTAGTAAAATATTGTGTTGGACTCTGTGCAATGTTTTTTTTTTTTTTAGATATATACAGACACTTAGGCTGTCTATTGTTTGACACATGTTATTGTGAAGTATTCCAATATATAACAAGACATCCTTGATACTACAGGCATTACAATCGCTTTCGCTCTCTGTACCTCTGGAACAGGTCATGGCAAAATTGGAGGTTCCATGTGCACCACTTTGTGGAGAAGACTTGTTTCATTTTTTTTGTGTACATCAAATGAATCTAGGTCACTCCTTTGTACTCTTCAAAAGGAAGATTGTGGCTGGTCAGTTTTTTTCTCCTGGAACCAATCAAATGACTTTGCTTGTGGCATTGTACCTTGAATTTTGCCCTATGTTCCAGGGGTGCAGAGAGCAAAAGTGATTGTGACCTGGCTTATCAACGATGGTAATGAGACAGACAACACACTGAGGACCACTTCATTGCTAATACACCTTTATACAATAAAAGCTACACATAGAAAACTATTGTATAAGCTACACATACAGTTGTTTCCTATATACCACAGGTTGGGCACAGTCCTTCATTTGGGTAATAGTCCTGCATCTGAGGTATAGTTAATTACCGCTTTTATTAATCATTTAGTTACTCAAATTGTCACATTGGTTAATGGTCATATAAAAAAAGATGACTCCCTTTTTTGTTAAAATTTTTTAAATGTTTTATTTCAGAATGACTGCATTTATAATACTAACTGATTAATCATGTAGCACAGTAGGTGTAAACACATGTACTTGTTGGTAATAGCCATGTTTATTACATGTTGAACAATAATAATGTTACATGTACAAAAGCAACATCTCATCAACATACAGAGTTCATATACTCATACTAGTACTTCACGTTGTGTCTCGTATCGGAACTGTCCCTGTAAAAAACAGTACTTCTAAAGTATACACTTAACTATCCACTCCTCATTCTGTTCATCATGGTGTAACCTGTCTGTCCAGTCTAGTTAGTCTGACTAGTGAGTTCTTTCCCCGTCTCTCCACAGGGCTAGTGAGTTATCTCCCCGTCCGTCCATAGGGCTAGTGAGCTATCTCCCCGTCCGTCCATAGGGCTAGTGAGCTCTCTCCCACACCCAAAACTCCCCTCATTTTATCCATACTCTATAAGATCTTATAGATGGAGATGCAACAATCTAATGCTCCATCAGTTGAGTATTAGATTGCCTAATACACGTTTCAGAGTTTTTATCTTTGATGCGGTGGGCATTTCCAAAGGCAGTCCTACAACCAGTCAGCCAAAGATTACTGACTTATGTATCTGGGTTACACTTATATCGAAACCACATTTTGTAACAATATATCTAAACCCTATTTTGTTACACTCAAAGAGGTAACTATCCCTCAAATGCAGGACCATTACTCATATGAGGGGTTGCACCCAACCTATTATAGTTGAGAACATGAGAATTTCCCTGTGAATGGACCCCTAGATTTTTTATCAATGCCATCACTGGGTACCTGGTTCATGTTTCATGTAGTGTATCCATCCCTGGCTCTGCTGAACTCCCAAACCTCTCCACTCTGTTTCCGACATCAAGTGTTTGGGAACAAGCTTTGCTATTTCCTTTGGTAACACAACATGCCTGAAATAAGCATTAGATAATATGGTAAACAGTTTCTATAACTACTAACTAGCTTACTGTATAATAAGGGTTAACTAAAATCATAATCTCTACATTGTTATTGATTTTTCAAACTCAACTTTCTTTGGAACCTTTTATTATACGGTCGTTAATTTGCTTTAATATCTTCATCATAAGAGGGTTGTGGGAAATGACATTTTTAATCTTTGGGGATAATCATACCACGAATCAAAGTTAAAACTGAACAAGAGAACGTGTGACCATCATGAACAAATGTCCGAATGGCCAGTGTTGAAACATGTCTAAACACAACACGTGAGGCGGCGCTCTGGTTGACAACACACTTTTTGGAAATTCATTATGGCAAGGTATCTCGTAATTTACGTACCTGTATTCATAAGTATCATCTGTATATTTATCTGAATAATAAATGCTTTTGTGAGCCATGACTGTCTTATATTGCCACGACAGGAGAGCCTCTGCTGATCTACGAAGTTCGGGAATGTTTGAATGACACTGTTTCGATGTGATTGGTCGGTTGGGTTTGTCACGTGACCTAAATAAAAACAAACCATTTTCACTGCAGACACGTCTGCGAATGGATATTAAAAGGATATTCTGAATCAAATTATTACATTGTTTTAAACCCCATTCATCTTTATTAAATATGACATTCATATATAAACCGGTGAGAAAAATGGTTGCAACAAAATTCATGCTGCATTGCTCGTCATTTACTAAAGAAGGAGAGTTATTCCGAACAGAAAGGGTGTGATTAAGTAAAACCCAAAACACGGTGACGGAACAATTATCATTCGGTTACTTGGATGCTTGCAGCATGTTTTGCCAGAAAGTAAACCATACAAATATATAATCAGCAAATTATACAAGAGTTTATTCATTTTTATATTATGGGGCTTTTTGATCACTTACCTGTGTATGTAGATCTTGTTCCTTAACTTTCTGTGAGATTTTCTTTCCACACCCAATCTCTCTCTCCCTCCCTTCCCTATAGGTTTCTTTCTAAACCATGCTTAGAAAAAAAAGTGTAAGTTTATCGATAAATGTGTATTTTGATTTATTGTGGATTCTCTTCTGCCTCATAACTACATTAAAACTGCAATGCTTTGATGTACTTACATATGTTTAAACCCTATTATGATTAGAAGTTTTTGGATGGTTAGAAATTTTCCCATGAAACACCTATATGGCTAAATCATAGATAACTATTGGTAGTGAGAATATCTTTCTTTTTCAGAAAAAAAGCAGTTGATGTAATCTGGTCTCCGCGGTATTTACAAAATTACCATGTCGGGGCCTTTACTGCTCTACCACGGACTTATACATGGCCAGACAACTTGACTATAAAAAAAAAAAAAAAGTCCAATAGCATTTTATGATTTGTTAAACAGAAAGAAATCTCTCAAAAGCAAAGGGCAAGGGCATGCTCCTATGAAAGAGAGACGTAATAGAACCAGCAGACTTCCATATATGAATGGTAAGTTATGGCGGGCTATTTACAGGAAACGCATGGGTTTTTTTTTAATAAATATTGTATCACAAAACTACAGAAAATTGGGAAAAGTACAGGCAGCAGAGAAATTTTGTAAATAAACTTAATAAACAATCAATTACGCAATATTTTAGATCCAGATGCTGTGATGGACCTAAGTCTAAGGACTTTTGGCCCACCATCAAGCCTTTTATCAAAGAAGTCTGTAGCTGGAGACAACGACATTTTATTATGTGAAAATAGTTTTAACTGACCAAAAAAACTGTTTGTGAAACTTTTAATATTCATTTTAGTACTATTGCTGAGAATATTGGTCAGGATTTGGAAAATGTAGATATGGAAACGCACAACAGTATAGTTAATATTCAGAACCTTGTATCCTCTTCTTCTGGTCTCTCTTTTCCCCCGTTGCAGATAGTGAAGTGCGTAAAGTTTTATCCAAATTGCCAAAGAAAAAGCTACAGGCGTTGACGGCATATCATGCAGAATTCTGAAGTCTTGTTCTGATTCTATTAGTCCTTCTCTTCCGAATTTTCTAATTTTCTCTATTAGCAAGTGTATTTTCCCAGACCGTCTGAAGTATGCTCAAGTGACTCCACTTTTCAAGCAAAATGATCCTTAGTAATTACAGACCAATCAGCATACTTCATAGTATTTCAAAAATTTTTGAAAGAATTCTGCATGATTAGCTGTCAACATTTTTTAACAACATATTTCATCCCTTTTTAGCGGCCTATATGACCGGTTTCGGGTGTCAGACCACCCTGCTGCGCATGATGGAAGACTGGCGTCAGGTCTTGGACGGTCACAACTATGTTGGGGCCATTCTTATCCATTCTTTCCAAGGCCTTCGGCTGTCTTCCTCATGACCTGTTCCTCGGAAAGCTCTCATCTTATGGGTTATCGACTGAGGCTGTTAGTCTCATGAGTAGCTACCTAGGAAACAGGATGCAGTGGGTGAGGATGGGAGGCAACACCAGCGAGTGGATGGCTCTCATCAAAGGGGTACCCTAGGGATCGATCCTTGGGCCGCTTATTTTCAATATTTGTATTAATGATATCGTTTACTGTATGAAGGAGGCTACTTTGTACAATTATGCTGATGGTAACACTCTGGGTTATTTTAACAAAAGTATTGAAAGTCTGAAAGAGGTGTTAGAGAGAGAGGCAGCATTACTGATAGAATGGTCAGTCAATATGTTTAGGAAAGAAAGCCCTCCATCACTTCACAATAGGCAATTCCACTATAGTTTGTGAAGATAGTGTTAAACTTTTAGGTGTTGAGATAGATTTTTAATTGAAGTTTTATAAATATATCTCTTTTATTTGTAGACAAGCCTCCAAACAGTTTGCAGTTCTGAAGAGGATTGGACATTTTTTTTTATCTAAATCTGTTAAAATGTTAATTTACAAGAGTTTTGTATTGTCGAATTTTAATTACTGTCCCCTTGTTTGGAATTTCTGCAGCGTCTCGGCAACCAGGAAAATGGAAAAGGTGCAAGACCTTTCTTGAAGTTTTTTCATTTTCCTGGTTGCCGAAACGCTTGCGTTTTCTTTTTAATGATTACACCTTCGACCTCAAAAAAAACTGCTAACAGATGCTAATACTTCTTTCCTGCATATTAATAGGATGAAGTTGATGGCTTGTGAAGTTTTTAAAAATTTTAACAAGATTTCTCCTGACTACATTTGCAGTCTAATATTTAAACAAGAAACTTTGTATACTTTCAGAGCAGAGGGCAAGGTACACATCCCAAGGGTAAACACCATCAGGTATGGAAAGAATTTCTTCAGGTACGAAGCGTCCCGCATATGGAACAGTCTCCCGAAAGATCTGCGTAAGGTAGAGAACGACAAAGAATTCAGGAGACTGATGTAGGATGTATGTGGGATGGCCCGGACTGTAAGTGTTCTATGTGGGATCAGATGTGAGTTTCCTCCCTTTGTTCAGTAGTGTTGCTACCTGTGTGCTTTTATCTTCTATTTTCATTTTAGTGCTTAAATTCTGTGCTTTTGCTTATTTTGTTTGTCTTCTTTGATTTATAATCTGCTGTCTTATTTAATTACTATTTATAATTTTGACATTGACGAAAAGTTCTCTTTTAATTTGCACTACATTAGTAGCATAGTCTGTCAATTTTTATTTTTTGCTATATTAGCATATATATATATATATATATATTACACTTTATTAAAGTGTTTTACTTTTTTGTATCTATAAATAACTGTGTATTTCAGATATGCAGCTGATTACTTGATTTCTGTGATATATAAAATGTGACAACTTCTTTTTGTTTATAATCTGTGTATACATTGCTATTGACTTAAATACATATCCTCTGCTGCTTGTTGCTAATATTATGTTGCATGTTATTTTGTTTCGTATTATGTTATGTTGAAGTACAAGCTCACCAGAGCTTATGTTTACTGTTGGTAATATTAGACGTGAAATAAAGTTTCTTGTATCTTGTAACGGTGTGGAGAACATCCTGATTTTGACTAATTATACCAGCACCGCCTCTACAAATCACTAAAACTTTATAATCTTCCACCATATTTAAATTACAAACTCGTTTCTATTCAAAAGCAAAGCTAAAAGATAGTCCTTGCTGCAACCCCTGTAACTCTGAAAGAGGAACTATATTACATTTACCGGGAAATGGGATCAATTCCAAAATCTTCCCAAAGTCTAGATATGTTGTTGGAGGCTACATTCATAAATTTTGTCATCAAATAACAAGTTAAGATCAGTAATAACAACATAAATATATAAAACATTATGTGTGGTGCCTTCCTCCATAACAAGCATCGTAAGGAGATTATTTCATCACAGAATATTTTCTGGATTTTTTACCGGGAAATGATTACTTGTACTTAATTACACTATGCCAGGAGAACGTCCTCCGAGCATGCGCACCTTATTTACAGAAATAAACTTCCGGATTAGGAAACAGAAGTTTTCTGAATCGTCTAAACGAAAATATGACAAGAATTTGACAGGTGAGACAGTTAAATAACGGCATTCTTTTCCAGCCTATATTTTCAAACTTTACATTTGACAACGTCGCTCTTTACCCAATCGCTAAATTCAATCTTATTGAATCATGTGCGAAGTATTTTGTTTGACAGACTGCACCCGTCTTATTTTAGACTCCTACCATTGGACGGAGTCCACAGGCTTGTATAGATGAGTTAGATATCTCTGAATGAAGGGGGGTTTGGATCATAATATACATAAATGTATCGATCCCTTCTTCTGAAATGCTTTTCATGTCATAAATGTTTGATGAGAAATTACTATAACTACAATCACAACAGCCGGACGTTCTGCCAATAAGAATACAATCTTGTCTACGGACTATTTTTATAGAGATTATAAGTGAGACTATTTTCTAAGTGATCTGGATATAGAGTAATTCAGACAATGTTATTAACCTTTGGCACATCAGATCATTTCAGAACTCTGAAAGAGTTTTGGCCACGATTTTTCATAAATTCGTATTTCAATCTGAAAAGTGCAATAATGTACATGTATAGTCCATGGAATCTCTCACAGACAACTGCAGGGCCCCATTCTTTTACATTACGTTATTGAATATGCATATTTAAATTGGAAGGGGGCAAGGTAATTTGATACAGAACATCAAAGAGTTCCTTCATTGATAGCATGCTTCTATATGCAATAAGACAGACATTCCACACCTGATTTCATTTACATATGCTCAAACTCTTTTTTAAAGTCAAACATTTTTATTACATGGTGTATTGTTTATACAATGATAGATGAAAAAACTCAAATGTTTTCCTACTTTTATTATTCTTTTTGGGAAAGAAACACCATAACCAGAACACAACTATATTTATGGGCAACCTTGTACAAGAATTTCCATATGAAATGGCTGAAACAGGACGTTGTTTGAAAACATATTTGTTTTTAACAAAAACACAAATTTCAAAACATATTGCTCTATTAAACATATATTTGTAACTTTGTATTATAATTTGATTGCTAGTTTGTGTTACAGTGATCAAAGTCATTCTGATACAATGTCATGCAGATCAATAGTTGAGATGATAAATTACATCCCTATCTGGAACCAATGATAATACAGTACTCATACCCTGTCTCCAAATGACAAAGCACTAGCCATGTCTAGTTCTAAAGATTGATGCAAAATAAGATATATTTCGATTTGAGATGTAATGAGAATTAGGAAAAACTTAAATAAAAAAACACAGGTCATTTATTTATCTGTTTTTTTTTTTTTTTTTTTCTTTTTTTTTTTTTAAATATGTCAACATTAAATAAGTTAGGTGAAAAAAAAGTAAGAAAATAAAGGTGATATGTCATGTGTAAATGAAACACCACTCCTTAAAAATAAAGGTGATATGTCATGTGTAAATGAAACACCACTCCTTAAAAATAAAGGTGATATGTCATGTGTAAATGAAACACCACTCCTTAAAAATAAAGGTGATATGTCATGTGTAAATGAAACACCACTCCTTAAAAATAAAGGTGATATGTCATGTGTAAATGAAACACCACTCCTTAAAAATAAAGGTGATATGTCATGTGTAAATGAAACACCACTCCTTAAAAATAAAGGTGATATGTCATGTGTAAATGAAACACCACTCCTTAAAAATAAAGGTGATATGTCATGTGTAAATGAAACACCACTCCTTAAAAATAAAGGTGATATGTCATGTGTAAATGAAACACCACTCCTTAAAAATAAAGGTGATATGTCATGTGTAAATGAAACACCACTCCTTAAAAATAAAGGTGATATGTCATGTGTAAATGAAACACCACTCCTTAAAAATAAAGGTGATATGTCATGTGTAAATGAAACACCACTCCTTAAAAATAAAGGTGATATGTCATGTGTAAATGAAACACCACTCCTTAAAAATAAAGGTGATATGTCATGTGTAAATGAAACACCACTCCTTAAAAATAAATTGTTGACAATAGTGGAAACTAAGTATTTATTTTGTTCTTCATTGTAACTCCATGTTCAGTTTTCTAATTTTTCATGTTAAAGAGATATAGTGGTGTGATATAATGCAGTGGGAAATGACAAACATTTCTACTAATTTAAGTCCTCTGACAAAAAACAAAACTTGGGTCTCCAGCTTGATAATTCATGATTCTACAAATTGTAAATTTGAATCAAAGAAGTATGCTCGATCAGTTGCGTGAAAGCAACCATATTTAGTGCTATATCAGTTTAGGTACAAAACACACCCGCATGCTACCTGTGATTTCCCAAATCCTCTTCACTACAAATCAATGGATCACATTGAGCATAGAAATCACATCCTACCAAGCACCACAACAGGAATCAAATCTGATAACCCGTAGCTCTGTATATCATATATGCTTTATAGTAGGAATGACATCCATGGGAATGGTATCACAATACAAATGGCATCCACAAGCATATTGTCATAAAAGCAGTCACATTAACTGGGATGGTGTCTTAGTAGGAGTGACATCTACAGTCATGGAGTCTTAGTAGGAGTGACATTTACAGTCATGGTGCCGTAGTAGGAGTGACATACACTGGGGTGGTGCTTTAGTAGGAATGACACACTGGGGTGATGCTTTAGTAGGAGTGACATACACTGGGGTGGTGCTTTAGTAGGAGTGACATACACTGGGGTGGTGCTTTAGTAGGAGTGACATACACTGGAGTGGTGCTTTAGTAGGAGTGACATACACTGGGGTGGTGCTTTATTAGGAGTGACATACACTGGGGTGGTGCTTTAGTAGGAGTGACATACACTGGGGTGGTGCTTTAGTAGGAGTGACATACACTGGGGTGGTGCTTTATTAGGAGTGACATACACTGGGGTGGTGATTTAGTAGGAGTGACATACACTGGGGTGATGCTTTAGTAGGAGTGACATACACTGGGATGGTGCTTTAGTAGGAGTGACATACACTGGGGTGGTGCTTTATTAGGAGTGACATACACTGGGGTGGTGCTTTAGTAGGAGTGACATACACTGGGATGGTGCTTTAGTATTTTGCATTTAACTTTATCGAACTTAACTTCGAGCGCCAATCTGTAAAGTTTGTCTCGTGATTTTGTATAGCTTGGCGCCCCAGTTGCATGTTTAAAACAAATGTTACAGAATGGTCGGTATCGACATTTTGAGAAGAGATATTATCAAACACGTACACCATTTCTCAATATAATCACTTGTCAAAAAACGCCCGATTTATGACAAGACACACCGAGGTATTGTGACAACACACATCTTACGCGGCATACGACACCCTCTAACAGAAAATGTCAAATCACAAATAACGTTTAAAAAGATCATGTGTATAGTACAGTTATGTAAAACAGGATATGAACGCTTGGTGTGTGTGATCAGAATATCATATGAAACTAGATGTAACCATCTTTATAATATAGACAAAATTCACTGCTTTACTTGCATGTGTATGTATTTCATTGTATATACCAGTAAACTTGTATCAACATCTATCTCTCACGATACACATACTATATTATCTTAAACTTCCCATGCACAAAAGTAATCCAATCTATATAAATATATCCCTCCACTTTCTGCGACAACCATGATTGAAAAATCGTCGTCACCTCATGAGATATCATGACTGCGACCATTTTCAGAAATACGCCAATTAAGTCTGTAACATTTTCATTGCCACAGTTACGATGTTTGATTTACGTACACTGGGGTGGTGATTTAGTAGGAGTGACATACACTGGGGTGATGCTTTAGTAGGAGTGGCATACACTGGGATGGTGCTTTAGTAGGAGTGACATACACTGGGGTGGTGCTTTATTAGGAGTGACATACACTGGAGTGATGCTTTAGTAGGAGTGACATACACTGGGGTGGTGCTTTAGTAGGAGTGACATACACTGGAGTGGTGCTTTAGTAGGAGTGACATACACTGGAGTGGTGCTTTAGTAGGAGTGACATACACTGGGGTGGTGCTTTAGTAGGAGTGACATACACTGGGATGGTGCTTTAGTAGGAATGACATCAACTGGATGATGTCAGTAAGTATCTACCGTAATTGACCTACATTCAAGATAAGCGGATGAATTGTGTAAAAGTTGACTAGATAAATTCCTGCCAAGTAATTATCATTAACTATCTTGTTGCTGATTGACTAGATATATTACTATCATAACAATAACAAAACAATGAAATAATTTATTGACCCTTAATAGCTACTGTTTAGGTCACCTGAGATAAAGTCTCAATGATGCCTATTACGATACTGTTTTGTCTGGCGTTGTCCGGCATACATAAAAAAGCTTCCATATTTTTTACTTCTTCTGGAAAACCCCTGAACAGATTTTTAAAAAGCTTGACAGAAACCTTCCTTGTTCAAAGGTTAACCAAAATTGTAAATTATGTGGTAATTTCAAAAACTTCTCATTACCAGAATATGGTAGAATCAAAAACTCTTATGTAATTCACGGAAGTAAACAGAAGGGTCTAGTACAAAACTATAGACTCGACAGGTCTGCTTTTCCGGTCATATAATAAGAATTAGACCTTTATTTGCATGGTTATAATAAGATTAGTACTATTACTTCCTGACCATGTTGGGATAATAACAGATTTCCTGGAATTAAAGATATTTCTAGTCAAAATTAATACTTGAATGAGGACAGATGGAGGTAAACAAATCAATATCATAAAGGTTTCTTTATCAATATACATTACTAATACTTATTACAGGTTATGAATATGTTAATTTGTTTGTTATATATAGAACAGGAAGTCATGAGTAGATAATAAGCTACATGCGATCATCATGATCAGGTATATAACAAAAGGAAATACTTGTATTTGTTTTACCAATTGGTCATTGTGAGCCATAAGAGAATTGTACTATATACCAGTAACTGAAATTAATGTCAAAATGTTGGTGTTTATATGACTAATATATACTGACTACCTTTAAACTTGCTTGTTCATTTCTTAGTTATTTCTGTTACATGTCTTCATTAGCGACAAATTCAAAGTTTCATTGGTTAGTAATTTGACTGGCAGAAATATTTTGTTTAAGAGTGACTTGCTAGGATTTATAGAACATGTCATATGGATGAAGTATCCTGGGGATATAGTATAGAATGTGATTCACTCTATCCTGTTATGTGGTCATCAGTATTCCTTATACAGGAGGTGGTTGTACCTTGTCTATACACCTACAGTCATTGAACCATGAACCTATTGTTAGGAGTGACACAATTTACAAAAATATCATTGGTTTGTCACAGTGTGTAGTGTGTACAGCTCAAGGTGCGCAGTGATAATGAAGTTATTCAGTGTATGCTTTAAAACTACAAACATGACTTATGTAATGAGATTGTGTGAGCTCTATACATTTACTTATACATTTTGTTATCGCTAATGTAATTTGAGGAAGCACTGGCTAGACAGTGTATGTGTATTATTTAGAGCAGAGGTAAACATGTATGTGTGTCGTAGACAATAAATCACTGTAGATTTCAACTTTCTTATATCTCATATTTTTAGCTGGTGATTCATGCTTTGTTAATCACAATATACTACAGACTTTGTAAACACAGGTGATACATTACACTTCACCATAAGGACTTGTTGATAAATTACAAGAGAAATGGGTTTTAGACTATGTGATTAGTAAGTGCATATGTCAGTCCATTCTGTTATGCTATGTTTGGTTATCAACTAGGCTGATATGTTCATGGTATATTATAAGACACATTCTTTTTTGATTTTCTAGTTATATGCCAGACTGAAATTGTGCTTGGTTATCTGTCAGGGTCATATATCAGTGGTATATTAAGACACATTCTTTTTGTTATTGTGTTTGGTTATCAACCAGGGTGATATGTTAATGGTATATTAAGACACATTCATTTTGTTAGTGTGTTTGGTTATCAACCAGGGTGATATGTTAATGGTATATTAAGACACATTCATTTTGTTATTGTGTTTGGTTATCAACCAGGGTGATATGTTAATGGTATATTAAGACACATTCATTTTGTTATTGTGTTTGGTTATCAACCAGGGTGATATGTTAATGGTATATTATAAGACACATTCTTTTTGTTATTGTGTTTGGTTATCAACCAGGGTGATATGTTAATGGTATATTAAGACACATTCATTTTGTTAGTGTGTTTGGTTATCAACCAGGGTGATATGTTAATGTTATATTAAGACACATTCATTTTGTTATTGTGTTTGGTTATCAACCAGGGTGATATGTTAATGGTATATTAAGACACATTCATTTTGTTATTGTGTTTGGTTATCAACCAGGGTTATGGTATATTAAGACACATTCATTTTGTTATTGTGTTTGGTTATCAACCAGGGTGATATGTTAATGGTATATTATAAGACACATTCTTTTTGTTATTGTGTTTGGTTATCAACCAGGGTGATATGTTAATGGTATATTATAAGACACATTCATTTTGTTATTGTGTTTGGTTATCAACCAGGGTGATATGTTAATGGTATATTAAGACACATTCATTTTGTTAGTGTGTTTGGTTATCAACCAGGGTGATATGTTAATGGTATATTAAGACACATTCATTTTGTTATTGTGTTTGGTTATTAGCCTGGATGTCAGTCTGATAATGATTGTTTTCCAATTATCAGTCATGATAACATGACATTACAGACCTCTCTGACCTACAGGAATATCGTATAAACTATTTCTGTTTACTAATTTAATTATAACAGCCACATGTTTTTACTGTTCCAACAAGATATTTCTTTCTATTTTTTTCTATTTACTAAAGAGAACAACAAATCCTTATGTTATGCAGTTGAATTTTAAATTCAAAGCCATCTACCATTATTACAGCCAAATTATATAGAAGAGGAAATATTACCAAATTGTGTCTTACAGGAAATGTAGCAAAATTTAATTGTGGTAGAAACATAACCAAATGGTTTTGTTGAGGAAATATAACCTTATTATATCATAGAGGTAGATTTTTTTAAAACAAATTCAAGTTATAGCACAAAGTATTCAAAAGTTATTGAGAATTTTGTATGTATAAACATGCACTGTACAGATTTAGTGTTTATGAAAAATGGTAATATAGTATCAATTACCCTGATAGATCAAGGTAGAATTGTGATTTAGTGTTCTGTTTTATGTCTAGAGATATGTAAAGGGAGATCCAGAGGGGAGGGGCAGAGGAGAGGGGTATCCAGAGAGAAGGGAAGGACGATAACAGAATAGACTTTCTGATTTACAGCACTGTACATATATCTGTAGTTGGAACCTGTGTAGTCAGAAAACATTTCATTCAGATGATGTGTGATTTAGTGTATGCTTTAACTATAATATGTTGTGTAAAGTTCAGTGTGCAATACATTTTGTATCTGATTTTACTTTTAGAATGGCCAGTAAACCAGACAAGAACAAAAAGAAGCAGCGCACTGGGTCAGAATGGTCAAAGACTGGCAGCTTTATGAACAAACCAGATCGAGGCTGGATCCACCCTGACACACAGCTCCATGTAGACAGTGGCATCTGTTATGGAGTTAGGGTATATATTCAGAATTTATTTATGTAAACACCATCGATAAAAATATGTGTGATGCTTTAATAATTGTTTTATTTTTACTTATGTGCACCAAGATAAAGATTGTAATGTATTACAAGACAAGGATTGTAAGACAATGTATTACAAGACAAGGATTGTAAGACAATTATTAAAAGACAAGGATTGTAAGATAATGTATTGCAAGACAAGGATTGTAAGACAATTATTAAAAGACAAGGATAGTAAGACAATTATTAAAAGACAAGGATTGTAAGACATTGTATTACAAGACAAGGATTGTAAGACATTTATTAAAACACAATGATTGTTAGACAATTATTAAAAGACAAGGATCTTAAGACAATTAGTAAAAGACAAGGATTGTAAGACATTGTATTACAAGACAAGGATTGTAAGACATTTATTAAAACAATAATTTTAAGACAATTAGTAAAAGACAAGGATTGTAAGACATTGTATTACAGGACAAGGATTGTAAGACATTTATTAAAACACAATGATTGTTAGACAATTATTAAAAGACAAGGATTTTAAGACAGTTATTAAAAGACAAGGATTGTAAGACAATTATTAAAAGACAAGGATTGTAAGATAATGTATTGCAAGACAAGGATTGTAAGACAATTATTAAAAGACAAGGATAGTAAGACAATTATTAAAAGACAAGGATTGTAAGACATTGTATTACAAGACAAGGATTGTAAGACATTTATGAAAACACAATGATTGTTAGACAATTATTAAAAGACAAGGATCTTAAGACAATAAGTAAGACATTGTATTACAAGACAAGGATTGTAAGACATTTATTAAAACAATAATTTTAAGACAATTATTAAAAGACAAGGATTGTAAGACATTTATTAAAACAATGATTGTTAGACAGTTATTAAAAGACAAGGATTGTAAGACAATTATTAAAAGACAAGGATTGTAAGACATTTATTAAAACAATGATTGTTAGACAGTTATTAAAAGACAAGGATTGTAAGACATTGTATTATGAGATAAGGATTGTAAGACATTGTATATTAAGACAAGGAGTATAAGACATTACTGAGATACATGGCATTGAGCAAGGTAATAATTGTTTGTAAGAAATGTACTCTAAGATAGTAAATTGTGTTCAATTTCAGTATATTGGGTGTTTGGAGGTGAAGGAGTCAATGAGAAGTCTAGATTTTGACACACGTACAAGTCTTGCCAGGTAACCATATGATTTGATTACTCTTCATTGCTATAGAACAGTTAAATATTATCACTTCCACAATTTGTTAGTATTTCTTTCATTGTCAAGAGCAAAGTAAATCAGTATTGTCCTCTTTCAAACATCTCAACAAGATGATTGCCTCTGAAAACGTCATTATATAGCAGACTTATGATATATCACATGATTGTGTGTTGTTCGGTGAATAATTCAATTTAGTATATTTGCTTATCAACCCATTTTATATGACCGATTTTGACATTGGCAGAAGGTAATGAAATTATATCTCAAACTCATAGGCTACCTCATGACATCACATTTAAGGCCATAGGTATAGAGCAAAGAATATTTAAAAATTTGGCATGGAACAGAATGTCTGCAATATTTCCAAAATTTGGATTATGTTATGAAATAGGTCTGAATTTTGTTTCCATTTCGTATGGTATGAAAACAGTTATAAATTTTTCATTTTGGAGCATTAAATGCTCTGTGCAATTGAAAATTAAAATCACTTTGATTTGTTCCATAAAGAATTTTAAAAGTTATGTACGATCGAAATTCGTCTCGAAATCGCTTGAGTCGAAATTCCATTTGAGTCGAAGTAATTATCAAATCCCGATTTTTTCCCTTCTATATCTTTGTAATTTTATTTTAAATGACTCAAATTTCATTAAGTCGAATTTCTGTTGCGTTAAAGCGATGTTTCAGTCCCTTCAATTGTAAAGCAAGAGAAAAGTCATTCGTTGTCTCGATATTAATTTTTGTCAAAATATCAGCATGTCTTCTGACGAAATCGGTCAATATATACACAGAGTAGAAAGTCACCTGTCCATCATACACACAACACTTAATCACTGGCGATTAATTTCCAGTTTAATTATCCAATTAAAGAGTGGCTTCTTAATAAGTGTCACCATCCTATAGCAGTGACTGGCCTGTACTTTAAAAAGAAAGTGCTATTACACAAAACATGAAAACATTTAGCTTGGTTTGGTGCATCTTCAGGAACGATAAAAACAAAATCATCAAACCAGGACAAATTTTTTAACGAAATCTTATCCCCAGAATTCTGAAAGAAACTAATTTTGAGCTTGTTAACTAAAGGACTGTAATCTGGCACTTTGTCAGATTTAGTGATTGGACAATGAAGTGCTGAAAGTATTTTTCATTGATAGAGTCTATATCTGTCCGTGAATTGTTAAGTCTAGTGCTTGTACAAAGTTTTCTCTAACAGGTAAAACCTTTTTAGTGCCACGTTTTACATACGTTCATTCATAATAAAGTCATATTGATATGATCTGTGGCTTCATACATCTCTTCTTGTAGCATATCAAAAGCAAATTTTAATTTTGTTTCATGTCATTCTCTGTAAAATATATATAATGTATAATGTAATGGAACAATGTGAGTACAGTTGCATTTGATTGGAGTTGTTATTACATGTTTTGTTATCTGGATGAACAAAAAATAAAAGGAGAAAGTAAGATAAACTCATTTGTTTATTTACTGCCATTTTGAATATCAACTGTAACTGATATTGTCAACCTTTTTTATTCGCTTCGTTTGATTCGAAATACGGATAAATCAAAATATTTTCCACTGTCCCTTGAATTTCGAGGTGGCTAGTTTTGACTGTATGTTAATGGTGACTACTGTCAGCTTTAAATGAAATTTTCTTTTAGCAAGAAAAACATTAGATTTTAATTCACTTAGAATAATGTAAGATTTAATTTTAATGAAACACCGTTAACACATATATTATACAGAGAAGCCATCAGCCGAGTTTGTGAGTCAGCTGGGATGAAACCTTTATCAAAGAAGAAGAAGGTGAGAGGCTATGCAATGTTTAACGCTCAGGTTAATGTCAGTGTCACCATACATATCTGTTAGACTGTATCACTAATATTTATGGTGAGACAGTGTCTCTTTCTTATTTCAGTCTTCACTTAAGACTTTAAGCACCACTTATCTGACTTTTGTTGTTGATATATATAGAATGTGTTCAAGATTGATTGGAATCAGATTATTCATGAAATTCAAGTGAGTGTCAATCGTTCAGGTTGTTTTCAACTTTTGACACTATATATTGAGTCAGCAATGTTGTTCCCAAATAGGATGAGTTTTAGGAGGGTTAAATAGATGTACATACATAGGCTAGCATCTGTGGACACTTTTGATAACTATAAAACAGCATTAACATGTCACTCATCTGTGTTCTTGTAGGATAAGAAATTGACGAAGATGTTGGGTGAGAGACCAGAGATGCAGTATGCTGGGTCCAATGTGAACCTTACCATCACAACAGAGGCACTCACACTTATGATTATGGAGTCTGGTGAGGTAGGTTTGTTAAAGGGGATGCTGGGTCCAGTGTTGACCTTACAATCACAACAGAGACACTCGCACTAATGATTATAGAATCTGGTGAGGTAGGTTTGTTAAAGGGGATGCTGGGTCCATTGTTGACCTTACCATCACAACATAAGCACTACCAGTGGTGTTTATGGAGTCTGGTGAGGTAGGTTTGTTAAAGGGGATGCTGGGTCCAGTGTTGACCTTACAATCACAACAGAGACACTCACACTAATGATTATAGAATCTGGTGAGGTAGGTTTGTTAAAGGGGATGCTGGGTCCATTGTTGACCTTACCATTACAACATAAGCACTACCAGTGGTGTTTATGGAGTCTGGTGAGGTAGGTTTGTTAAAGGGGATGCTGGGTCCAGTGTTGACCTTACAATCACAACAGAGACACTCGCACTAATGATTATAGAATCTGGTGAGGTAGGTTTGTTAAAGGGGATGCTGGGTCCAGTGTTGACCTTACAATCACAACAGAGACACTCGCACTAATGATTATAGAATCTGGTGAGGTAGGTTTGTTAAAGGGGATGCTGGGTCCATTGTTGACCTTACCATCACAACATAAGCACTACCAGTGGTGTTTATGGAGTCTGGTGAGGTAGGTTTGTTAAAGGGGATGCTGAGTCCAGTGTTGACCTTACAATCACAACAGAGACACTCGCACTAATGATTATAGAATCTGGTGAGGTAGGTTTGTTAAAGGGGATGCTGGGTCCAGTGTTGACCTTACCATCACAACATAAGCACTACCAGTGGTGTTTATGGAGTCTGATGAGGTAGGTTTGTTAAAGGGGATGCTGGGTCCATTGTTGACCTTACCATCACAACATAAGCACTACCAGTGGTGTTTATGGAGTCTGATGAGGTAGGTTTGTTAAAGGGGATGCTGAGTCCATTGTTGACCTTACCATCACAACATAAGCACTACCAGTGGTGTTTATGGAGTCTGATGAGGTAGGTTTGTTAAAGGGGATGCTGCGTCCATTGTTGACCTTACCATCACACCAGAGGCACTACTAATGGTGTTTATGGAGTCTGATGAGGTAGGTTTGTTAAAGGGGATGCTGGGTCCAGTGTTTACCTTACAATCACAACAGAGGCACTACCAGTGGTGTTTATGGAGTCTGATGAGGTAGGTTTGTTAAAAGGGGATGCTGGGTCCAGTGTTTACCTTACAATCACAACAGAGGCACTACCAGTGGTGTTTATGGAGTTTGGTGAGGTAGGTTTGTTAAAGGGGATGCTGGGTCCAGTGTTGACCTTACAATCACAACAGAGACACTCGCACTAATGATTATATAATCTGGTGAGGTAGGTTTGTTAAAGGGGATGCTGGGTCCATTGTTGACCTTACCATCACAACATAGGCACGACCAGTGGTGTTTATGGAGTCTGATGAGGAAGGTTTGTTAAAGGGGATGCTGAGTCCATTGTTGACCTTACCATCACAACAGAGGCACTACCAGTGGTGTTTATGGAGTCTGATGAGGAAGGTTTGTTAAAGGGGATGCTGAGTCCATTGTTGACCTTACCATCACAACATAAGCACTACCAGTGGTGTTTATGGAATCTGGTGAGGTAGGTTTGTTAAAAGGGGATGCTGGATCCAGTATTTACATCACAATCACAACAGAGGCACTACCAGTGGTGTTTATGGTGTCTGATGAGGTAGGTTTATAAAATGGAATCCTGGGTCCAGTGTTTACCTTACAATCACAACATAGGCACTACCAGTGGTGTTTATGGAGTCTGGTGAGGTAGGTTTGTTAAAAGGGGATGCTGAGTCCATTGTTGACCTTACCATCACAACAGAGGCACTACCAGTGGTGTTTATGGAGTCTGGTGAGGTAGGTTTGTTAAAAGGGGATGCTGAGTCCATTGTTGACCTTACCATCACAACAGAAACACTCGCACTAATGATTATAGAATCTGGTGAGGTAGGTTTGTTAAAGGGGATGCTGAGTCCATTGTTGACCTTACCATCACAACATAAGCACTACCAGTGGTGTTTATGGAGTCTGATGAGGTAGGTTTTTTAAAGGGGATGCTGAGTCCATTGTTGACCTTACCATCACAACATAAGCACTACCAGTGGTGTTTATGGAGTCTGGTGAGGTAGGTTTGTTAAAAGGGGATGCTGGGTCCAGTGTTTACCTTACAATCACAACAGAGGCACTACCAATGGTGTTTATGGTGTCTGATGAGGTAGGTTTGTTAAAGGGGATGCTGAGTCCATTGTTGACCTTACAATCACAACAGAGGCACTACCAGTGGTGTTTATGGTGTCTGATGAGGTAGGTTTGTTAAAGGGGACCAATCTTTTGTAACTCTCTTTATAACTTATGTTTTATCAGCTATTGCCATTTCTACATGTAAGAAATAATTTAGGTTCTTTGATAGTGTCTTAATCAACAATTTTGTCCTATAATGTCATTTTATAGTGTCTTACATTTACTAATTTGATAATATTTTAACTGACAGTGTCTTAACTGTTTTGATAGTGTCTTAACTGACTATTTTGATACTGTCTAAACTGACTGTTTTGATAGTGTCTTAAGTAACTATTTTGATAGTGTCTTAACTAACTATTTTGGTAGTGTCTTACATAACACACAATTTAAATGGTGTTTCTGATCAAAACAACTGGTTCTTATGGTATTTTCTGTACACTTACATTAAAAATAGCCAACCTAGATTATACAGATTTCCATTGCTTACACCTCTACATGGTGTTATGTAGTTCAGTGATATGTTGTTATCCAGTCTACTGATAGAAAGTATGTTGTAATGTGTTATCCAGTCTACTGATAGAAAGTATGTTATAATGTGTTATCCAGTCTACTGATAGAAAGTATGTTATAATGTGTTATCCAGTCTACTGATAGAAAGTATGTTATAATGTGTTATCCAGTCTACTGATAGAAAGTATGTTATAATGTGTTATCCATGTCTACTGATATAAACTATGTTATAATGTGTTATCCAGTCTACTGATAGAAAGTATGTTATAATGTGTTATCCAGTCTACTGATATAAATTATGTTATAATGTGTTATCCAGTCTACTGATATAAACTATGTTATAATATGTTATCCAGTCTACTGATATAAACTATGTTATAATGTGTTATCCAGTCTACTGATATAAACTATGTTATAATATGTTATCCAGTCTACTGATATAAACTATGTTATAATGTGTTATCCAGTCTACTGATATAAACTATGTTATAATATGTTATCCAGTCTACTGATATAAACTATGTTATAATGTGTTATCCAGTCTACTGATATAAACTTTGTTATAATGTGTTATCCAGTCTACTGATATAAACTATGTTATAATGTGTTATCCAGTCTACTGATATAAACTATGTTATAATGTGTTATCCAGTCTACTGATATAAACTATGTTATAATGTGTTATCCAGTCTACTGATATAAACTATGTTATAATGTGTTATCCAGTCTACTGATATAAACTTTGTTATAATGTGTTATCCAGTCTACTGATATAAACTTTGTTATAATGTGTTATCCAGTCTACTGATATAAACTTTGTTATAATGTGTTATCCAGTCTACTGATATAAACTTTGTTATAATGTGTTATCCATGTCTACTGATATAAACTTTGTTATAATGTGTTATCCAGTCTACTGATATAAACTTTGTTATAATGTGTTATCCAGTCTACTGATATAAACTTTGTTATAATGTGTTATCCATGTCTACTGATATAAACTTTGTTATAATGTGTTATCCAGTCTGCTGATATAAACTTTGTTATAATGTGTTATCCAGTCTGCTGATATAAACTTTGTTATAATGTGTTATCCAGTCTGCTGATATAAACTATGTTATAATGTGTTATCCAGTCTACTGATATAAACTTTGTTATAATGTGTTATCCAGTCTACTGATATAAACTATGTTATAATGTGTTATCCATGTCTACTGATATAAACTTTGTTATAATGTGTTATCCATGTCTACTGATATAAACTATGTTATAATGTGTTATCCAGTCTACTGATATAAACTATGTTATAATGTGTTATCCAGTCTACTGATATAAACTATGTTATAATGTGTTATCCAGTCTACTGATATAAACTATGTTATAATATGTTATCCAGTCTACTGATATAAACTTTGTTATAATGTGTTATCCATGTCTACTGATATAAACTTTGTTATAATGTGTTATCCAGTCTACTGATATAAACTTTGTTATAATGTGTTATCCAGTCTACTGATATAAACTTTGTTATAATGTGTTATCCAGTCTACTGATATAAACTATGTTATAATGTGTTATCCAGTCTACTGATATAAACTATGTTATAATGTGTTATCCAGTCTACTGATATAAACTATGTTATAATGTGTTATCCAGTCTACTGATATAAACTATGTTATAATGTGTTATCCAGTGTACTGATATAAACTATGTTATAATGTGTTATCCAGTCTACTGATATAAACTTTGTGGTTCTGATTATAGATGATTGCTAACCACCAAATGCCTGGAATATCTTTTGCATCAGGAGGAGACTCGGTAAGTAACAGATCAATTTAATTAATCTAAATCTTCTGTTAGGGTCCCACCATAGTCCAGGATACCCTACTGTCCACTTCCTAACTTAAAAATCAGTCGTGGTGAAGTAATTCACCACCATTATGTGATGCATAGCGCATCCTTGTTTGTACTCCAAAGGTCAAGTTTTCATACTAAGGGTTTTTCATGGGACCTCTATATTTGTTTGTATGTGCTTCTATCTGAGACACGTTCATCTTGACTTCATAATTTTAATCAGTCATAGTAGAAGAATGACAGTATGTTTTTGAACCAATACAGTATTAGTAGGTGAATCACTTAAAGATACTTGTTTGAATTTCAAATACCGAGTTCTCAAACTTAGGGTTTTCCTGGAATCTTCCATGTATATCAATTTATAGAAAGTACTAGTTGTGTCTGGTTTGTTGCTTTGCAACCAGTCATATTTGAGAGATGAAACCTTGCATGATTGTTAATCAGTGAGTAGTTGAATCACATACACAATAATAAAACTTATGTAGCTAAAGGACATATATAACCACTACTTTGTATCAATGTAAACATCATATACATGATGTCTCATGAATCATGGACAGATGAATTATCATGTTTATATCATAGCATCAGCCTACCTAGGTCTACACCTGAAAGGTTTTGGTCAAGATTAGAGGTCAAAGGTAACATTTTACCACTTTTGAAATGATAACTTGTAGGTAAGATATCTTGTGAACCCATGGATAAATTTAGTTCATATTCACACCATAGCATCAAACCACCAAAGACAAAGGTCAAAGATCACTCTCTACTGCTTTTGAAACAAACACTAGGCCATGGTTGCTCAAAGGTTAGGGAGAATTAAGCAGTGATTAGTGAAAAATTCAGATTGCTGCCACTGAACAAACAAGGGCATCAAAGGCAAAAGTAACACTATAAATTTAACATTATGACCTATCCCAGTAAACCTACCACAGTGAATTAATAGATAATGTTTCTAATTTTACTTAATTCAAATTTGAATATTTAAGCAAACCACTGGTCATCTCAAAACCAGCTATTGAACCACCAGGCCCTTGTGTACAAGATATCCCTTACAAACTCCTCATTTGATTTAAATCATAAAAAAGACGAGGGGTATATTTATGTTAGCCTCTGCTCATTTTGTTTTTATATGTTTTGTCCTTCAAAGGTCAAGATCTAAAGCTAAAGGTTTCTCATTGTATCCAATATGATGAACTACAGAGAACAATAGATATGTCACATTTGTTTTTTAGCTTTTAACAATGGGAATTTATTTCAGACTCATGCATTTGACTGAATATTCCAGTCATTTGTTGGTGTTCCTGTAACTTAACCTAAATGATGTCTTACAGGAGACATTAAACTTTGTTGGTGTTCGTGTAATTTAACCTAAGTGATGTCTTACAGGAGACATTAAACTTTGTTGGTGTTCCTGTAACTTAACCTAAGTGATGTCTTACAGGAGACATCAGACTTTGTTGGTGTTCCTGTAATTTAACCTAAGTGATGTCTTACAGGAGACATTAAACTTTGTTGGTGTTCATGTAATTTAACCTAAGTGATGTCTTACAGGAGACATTAAACTTTGTTGGTGTTCATGTAATTTAACCTAAGTGATGTCTTACAGGAGACATTAGACTTTGTTGGTGTTCCTGTAACTTAACCTAAGTGATGTCTTACAGGAGACATCAGACTTTGTTGGTGTTCGTGTAACTTAACCTAAGTGATGTCTTACAGGAGACATCAGACTTTGTTGGTGTTCGTGTAACTTAACGTAAGTGATGTCTTACAGGAGACATCAGACTCAATTGGTGTTCCTGTAAATTAACCTAAGTGATGTCTTACAGGAGACATTAAACATTGTTGGTGTTCCTGTAACTTAACCTAAGTGATGTCTTACAGGAGACATTAGACTTTGTTGGTGTTCCTGTAACTTAACCTAAGTGATGTCTTACAGGAGACATCAGACTTTGTTGGTGTTCGTGTAACTTAACCTAAGTGATGTCTTACAGGAGACTTGAGACTTTGTTGGTGTTCGTGTAACTTAACGTAAGTGATGTCTTACAGGAGACATCAGACTCAATTGGTGTTCCTGTAACTTAACCTAAGTGATGTCTTACAGGAGACATTAAACATTGTTGGTGTTCCTGTAACTTAACCTAAGTGATGTCTTACAGGAGACATTAGACTTTGTTGGTGTTCCTGTATCTTAACCTAAGTGATGTCTTACAGGAGACATCAGACTTTGTTGGTGTTCGTGTAACTTAACCTAAGTGATGTCTTACAGGAGACTTGAGACTTTGTTGGTGTTCGTGTAACTTAACCTAAGTGATGTCTTACAGGAGACATCAGACTCAATTGGTGCTCCTGTATCTTAACCTAAGTGATGTCTTACAGTTGACATTAGATTTTGTCAGTGTTCCTGTCTCTAAAGTGATGTCTTACAGTATTTATTTGATTTTGTCAGTGTTCCTGTAATTTAAGTTATGTCTTACAGGAGACATTAGACTTTGTTGCCTACGTGGCAAAAGATGCAGTAAATGGACGTGCATGCCATGTCCTGGAATGTGGAGGCGGTCTGGCAGAAGATGTCATCACGACCATCGGTCAAGCTTTCGAGCTCCGCTTCAAAGAATATCTCAAGAACCAGCCAAAACCAGTCACAGCACCAGACAGGTAACAGGAGAAATAGGCCAGAAACACATCTGTCCGGATATATCTTATACATTAGCCATACCTTTAGGTCTTTTTGTTGTATGAACAATATGTCTAGGTAATTGTTATTCTCTTACCCAGGACAGGTAAATCCACAATTTTGCCGTGGGGTTGAGACAAGCTAGGCATGCTCTTTGCATGTTCTTAAAGCAATTAAAGTAACGTCACTGGGGTGATCCGGAAGTTGAAATACTTTTATGAGGTCACACACATAGGCTAATTTGTCTGCTACTAAAATCTTGTGATATCCTTAAAACGGAAAATCCTATGTAATTATCAAAACTTATGATTAAAAACATAAATAAGATATAATAAAAATAAGAGTATAGTGTAATAGTTTTTATTTGGTATTTTATTGTACACTAGAATTATATAATGTTTAAGATTAAATCACAAGTGCTGGAATTACAGCTGTTCATATGCTGTCCACAGTGTGCTTCTTCTTACACTAGGACAAGGAAGATAGGGAATGAGAAAAATAATCATTAACCCTCTTAAGGGTGAGATAGGGAATCTCGGCCCTTGGGAGAAGATTATGAAGCTGTCAACCACTGGGCAAGCATCGTGTTTGACAACTTCATAATCTCCACCTCAGGTTGAGATCCTCCTATCTCTCCCAAATAGTGGTGAAAGATTCTATTAATCTCATTGACTTTATCTCTCAATATACCTTGAGCTGATATCTGAATTTACACTCTTGAGATAATATCTTTGTACACATTTTTAAGGGATAAAGATGGCATTAAAACACATGTTAATAGTAAATACCTTTCACTAGAATTGAGGAAGTTTCTGAGCCTACGGAGTCTGCATATGATTACCCAGACGTCAGTACCAAGCTGATGTTTGAGGATGGCAATGTCTATGATAACAAAATGCCTGTAAGCCACGGAGACCGACCAGAGGAAGGATTATATAGTAATAATTGTAGGCCACATCTATATCCAAACTTAGACCCACTCAATGTAAGTTAGCATTTAACGATGGCACCATACCATATAAAGAAAGGGCAATGCAGTATATTTACACAGTGCTGCTTAAACCACAGCAGTCCTTCCCTTTTGCACAGTGATAGAATAAAGAAAAGACAAGTTGCAGGGTGATGGGCAGACATTTCTATAGTTATTAGCTACAACTGTAAAATATTGAGTGAAATGTTTTGCCCTTTAGAATGGAGAACCCTATCAGTGAAGGGGATGCATGGGGAGAAGACCATGAGGGGGATTATTATAATGACCGACCCGGAGCACGCCCACCCTTGACACAAGCTTCTGAATATGCTGTCCCCACCTCCAATTTACCTGTAAGTATCCCTGCACCTGTAAGTTTTCCTTCACCTGTCAGTATCCCAATATCTGTAAGTATCAATTACATGTGAATATTTGTCATGTCTAAGTATCCCATTCCCTGTAAGTATTACATCACATATAAATATTCTATTACCTGTAAATATCCTCTCACCTGTAAGTAACCCACGACCTGTAAGTAACCCCTCACCTTAAAGTAGTCCAACACCTGTAAGTAACCCACGCACCTGTAAATAACCCCTCACCTTAAAGTAGTCCAACACCTGTAAGTAACCCACGCACCTGTAAGTAACCCCTCACCTTAAAGTAGTCCAACACCTGTAAGTAACCCACGCACCTGTAAGTTACCCCTCACCTTAAAGTAGTCCAACACCTGTAAGTAACCCACGCACCTGTAAGTAACCCCTCACCTTAAAGTAGTCCAACACCTGTAAGTAACCCACGCACCTTAAAGTATTCCAACACCTATAAGTATCCCCTCATCTTAAAGTATAACAACACCTGTAAGTATCCAAACACCTGTAAGTATCCCATCACCTGTAAGAATGCCTCACCTGTAAGTATCCCATCACCTGTAAGTATCCCCTCACCTGTAAGTATCCCATCACCTGTAAATATGCCTCACTTGTAAGTATCCCATCACCTGTAAATATGCCTCACTTGTAAGTATCTCATCACTTGTAAATATGCCTCACTTGTAAGTATGTTATCACCTGTAAGTATCCCTTTACCTGAAAGAATTCCATCGCCTGTACTTATCACCTGTTTCTCCTCACCTTTCTATAACCAGTCAATATCCCATCACTTGTAAGTATCCCATCACCTGAAAATATCACTTACCTGCTATTATCCCATCACCTGTATCCCCTCACCTATAAGTATATTCACAGTATTATATTGTCTATATCTATGAATATGTCTCGCATGCGGTTTAGAAAACGAATTTGTTTTCACTTCAATGTTTATTCATTTGGATTGTTTGTGGGCCAATTAAAGTCTTGATTGTGGACAAATTTGTATTCAATAAAATCAATGTTAACAGTTTTATTGCCAAAAGTATGATTAATTGTTTATAACTATCTAATGATTACATTAACCTACCTGTTTATATGTTAATTAACTTACCTGTTGATTAACTTACCTTTTACAGGTGAGTGATGGCATGTATTCCTCAGTGAAAGACCCGCCACTGTATGATGAAGCCAAGGAACGCTCACTGATTGACTTCTCTGATGCAGAGGTTGCGGAAATCTATGACAATAAAGGTATGCAATAGATATATGTAATCCATGAAACAGAGGTCATCCTTTATTTTAACATCTCTGCAAGGGATCAAACACAAGACATCTGGTGTGCTTGTCTTACATCTCTTACATTAGAATAGAAGATCTTATAACACAACCAGTAGAAGATTAGAGTGTGACGTTTCGATGACTACACAGTCACCTCCATCTTATAACACAACCAGTAGAAGATTAGAGTGTGACGTTTCGATGACTACACGGTCACCTCCATCTTATAACACAACCAGTAGAACATTAGAGTGTGACGTTTCGATGACTACACGGTCACCTTCATCTTATAACACAACCAGTAGAACATTAGAGTGTGACGTTTCGATGACTACACAGTCACCTTCATTTTATAACACAACCAGTAGAACATTAGAGTGTGACGTTTCGATGACTACACGGTCACCTCCATCTTATAACACAACCAGTAGAAGATTAGAGTGTGACGTTTCGATGACTACACGGTAACCTCCATCTTATAACACAACCAGTAGAAGATTAGAGTGTGACGTTTCGATGACTACACAGTCACCTTCATTTTATAACACAACCAGTAGAAGATTAGAGTGTGACGTTTCGATGACTACACGGTCACCTTCATCTTATAACACAACCAGTAGAAGATTAGAGTGTGACGTTTCGATGACTACACGGTAACCTTCATTTTATAACACAACCAGTAGAAGACTAGAGTGTGACGTTTCGATGACTACACAGTCACCTTCATCTAATAACACAACCCATAGAACATTAGAGTGTTAGGTTCCAATGACTACACGGTCACCTTCATCTTATAACACAACCAGTAGAACATTAGAGTGTGAGGTTCCAATGACTACACGGTCACCTTCATCTTATAACACAACCAGTAGAACATTAGAGTGTGAGGTTCCAATGACTACACAGTCACCTTCATCAGATATTGTTTGATGAAGGTGACTGTGTAGTCATGAAGACGTCACACTATAATCTTCTATTGGTTGTGTAAGAACTTCTATTCTATTGACATTACCAACCTGAAAAAGATGTTCCGAAAATACATCTAATACAGTTTCATACTAAGAGAGGTTTTAACTTGTATGGTATTCTCACTCAATTTCTTTATTACTTTCAGGAAATGTGAATGGAGCCTACAAATTTGATGCTGATAATGTCTATGATAACAAAGAGAATGTCATCACCCCCGATATTAACGGTGCTGCAGATCCATTTGATATGGGTAAGTCTCTTTCTATGTACCTCATGGAATAAATCTCATAACACTGTTATCTATAGCCTGGCTCCAATCTCCCAGTCACCAGTTGGGTTGTTTTAGGGGTTTCTGTCCAGTCTATATCAGTATATATTTATCTAGGAATCAAAGATGGCTGAATCTATTAGTCTGCAAATTAATAATATTCATGTGATTCTAAGGCTAAATTGAGTTATATGGTCTGATAAACTAATCGTTTATATGTGATACAGATTTAATGTTGTTCAAGAATTCCACTTTAGGAATCTGAATTTTGTTTACTTGTGTTAAACATACTACATATATTTTATAACTGTACTAACAGAGCCGTTCAGTGCTGGCCTGCCTTCAGGAGAGCAGGACACCTTTCGAAGACAGCCTGATATTTCTCCCTCAGATGTGCCTCCTCCCGCTACCTCCAACATCGCACCTGTGTTTGAGGACTGGTATCATGGTGCACTGCCACGGAAACAGGTAAGACAAAAAAATAACTGAGTAGTAATTGCTTCCTCTCCAGGAACTCAAGGGACTAAAGGATGGTGTTGTCTTTCGACATCCTTCGGTCTCTCCCTCCTTCCATCTGTCCTTTCTTCTGTCTGTCCATACATCTTTTGCCAACACTACTTGAATTTCATACTTGGTAATGCAATGTGTCATATACTTAAAGTAGATCACTTTAACATATATTGAAGCCTAAACTAAACTAGGAATGGGTGATATCATTAATGTAGTTTAGTGGTATTACTTCTCTGAATCGTTTGAACTTCTGATAATGCCTATTAAATTAGTGATATCTGATAATGCCTATTAAATTAGTGATATCTGATAATGCCTATTAAATTAGTGATATCTGATAATGCCTATTAAATAAGTGATATCTGATAATGCCTATTAAATTAGTGATATCTGATAATGCCTATTAAATTAGTGATATCTGATAATGCCTATTAAATTAGTGATATCTGATAATGCCTATTAAATTAGTGATATCTGATAATGCCTATTAAATAAGTGATAACTGATAATGCCTATTAAACTAGTGATATCTGATAATGCCTATTAAATTAGAATTAGTGATATCTGATAATGCCTATTAAATTAGTGATATCTGATAATGCCTATTAAATTAGTGATATCTGATAATGCCTATTAAACTAGTGATAGTGATATCTGATAATGCCTATTAAATAAGTGATATCTGATAATGCCTATTAAATTAGTGATATCTGATAATGCCTATTAAATAAGTGATATCTGATAATGCCTATTAAATTAGTGATATCTGATAATGCCTATTAAATTAGTGATATCTGATAATGCCTATTAAATTAGTGATATCTGATAATGCCTATTAAATTAGTGATATCTGATAATGCCTATTAGATATATTACGGGATTCATTCACATCTGTACCATCAAATGTAATTCAGTAATGAAATGCCATGGAAAACATGGTATCGGTGAAGGCAATCTGATAGAAAACTGTCCCCCTACCAGTGTACAGTAGATTGATTAGTGATGGTAACACTATTCTTTATTTGATATGATGGGTCTGTCATAGATTCTGTGTCTAAAATTAGTTCCTAAGTGAAGTCATCTTACAAGCATTCGTGGGATATAATTTCACATGGAGTGGGGTAGTGTTTTAACAAAAACCAAAGCTGTACATTTCATATGTATGTATTTTAATAAATGTGAGTAAATTGAAAACAAACAGGACTGAAAATTGCATTTCAAGGTAAACAATACTGTTTCAAAGAAAACAAGATTGTAATTTATTTATACAATTAAAATCAAATATCAATTGATATTTATATTTAAGGCTGAAAAACTTCTGCAGAAGGATGGGGACTTTCTTGTGCGACAGAGTTCTTCAGATCCCGGCCAATTTGTGCTTTGTGGTAAACAGGATGGTTCTATAAAACATCTCTTACTGGTGGATCCAGACGGTGTGGTAAGAGTTTTCAAACAGATTTGACATGAAGTTGTGTTTTCCTGAACGGCAGTTTGATTTGACTCTATTTAGAAGAGTAACTGCCCCATCCTTGTTTCCTAAATTTTCTTTTTGTCCTGAGATCTTTTCTCTCAGTTCACAACAGGTCTCATTCAAACTTGGTCATTCTTTTTGTTTGCAGCATTTTAATAATGGGTTTTTGAAGGGTTGGGTTTTTTTTGTTCTTTTGAGCTTTTTAAAATTGACTGTAGATCTTCTCCCTCAGTTTTTATCCAATTTCATTCAAACTTGATAGATTTTTTTATAATAGTATGTACTTGTGCTTTCTTATATGGCATTTTGATTAGACAATTATATTGGTTCATTTCCATATTTATATCAATTAGGAAATCTGCCTGTTTGGGTTATGCAGCTGGGTATGCAGTTTGCCTTCGGTTTATAATTCTTATTAGATCTACCTATTTCTGAAACTTCTAATTGTGTCATTGAAGTCTAACTTTGCCTGACTATTTGTTATGGCTGTCTATGTTAAGCTTGCATTTAAAATTTAATCTTATAAAATCTATCAATCTGGCTGGTTCAATTCTGAAGAGAGTTCAATTAAACTCTGTGCCAAGTTCAAGTGTAGCAATACCTCATATGAGTTGGGTTTTTCAGGGCATCATGATCATGGTCGCTATTACTATTTATAGAAATTTGTCAAATGTTGATACTTTTTTTTTGCGTGAATGTGAGGAATTCATGTCTTACAGACATTTTCTAGTTTATGATATTTAATGCACCATCATCAAATCACTCACATCCATATTTTGTCATCCATCGTTCTGCTATTTCTTGAGAAGTACAAAATGGATCTTCCTCAAATTTCTGGTGTAGGTTCCCATTGATCCCGAGTTTTGCCTTCTAGATTTTGGGACTAATTAGAAAAATGAAATGGCTGACAGACAGCTATCTTGTTTTGTGACAGTGAAAGCTTTTCATTGCTATTTCTTTGGAAATACTTGATGGATCTTTCAGAAATTTCATACACCAGGTAAAGGTTCCCTTGGTCCCTAGCTATACCCTTGTGATTTGGAGACTTATTAGAAAAAAAAATGACTGACAGCCATCATGGACTGGACAGTTAGGATTATTGTTGCTATTTTGTAAAGAAAATGTTCAAACTTCATATAATTAAGTTGAAAAAAACAGAGGGAAAAGATCAAGGTTTTAAAGAAGAAATAGGATCAGATAATGTTGGACACCAAGATTCCACTTGAACCTCTTGTTACAAGTGTGACTTTAGTTTACTGTTCCAATTTGATGTAACGTTGTGTGAACTCTCTACAAAGCATTAAGTCACCAGGAAATCAATAACATTGTTGTATTTCCACATTCCCAGGTAAGGACCAAAGACCGCGCCTTCGACAGTGTACCCCACCTTATCCAGCATCATCGCACTCACAACCTGCCAATTATATCACAGGAAAGTGAACTTCACCTTCTTCGTCCAATCAGCAATGCCTACACAAACTGCTGAAGGGTCTTCTCTTCAAGTTAAAATCACTTTTATTTTGTTTTTGGCTGTCAAGATCATGTATCAACATTGAAGTATGGCAGGTATATAATGTAGAGGTGTGTCAAAACAACTCATAATTATACAGTATGTGTACTTGGCTAACAGAAACTTGCTCAGATGTTTATACCACAGATCAGATATATTTCTGGAACATTTAGGGAGCGTTTTGACTTGGAAGTCAGGTAGACAGCAAGGTGCCATCAGACAAATCAACTACCATTCATATCTTTGAACTTGATACTATTTCCTGGGAAACACCAACCACCATAGGTAAGGAATGTTAACCTGAGAGACATGGTTTGATACACCCTACTTGTCACTGTTTGTGTTTCTGATGAAACTGAGAAATGGACCAGTCACTGCTGATGTGATTGTGTCCTTCGGCAACATACTTTTACTTACTTGCTTTAGATGGCTTTCAGTAAGCTACCTGTTTTTTTTTCCGTGAGATAGCATCATAATGATTCTGGTTTTCTACAGGACAAAGTTTTACAACATTCAAATTGAATTCAGATCAATGAGAAACTTAAGCATGTAAATGAAATTCCTTTCTAAATATTAGAAGTATGTTTATGCATCGGTTGAATTTTATACCAATAATCACATTTGGATGTGTGACTCAATCAGTTTAATGATTCTGATGTTTCTGAGAAACATTTGATATTCAGTAATGCCAGTGGCCTCCCAAACAAACAATATTTTATATTTTAAATTTAGAGTTTTACATCATTATTATTGAACATGTAAAAGCTGGCCTTTTCCAGTTTTTCAATTTTTCACTTTTCAATTGGAATTAGGACAATATTGTGATTAAGCTATTAACACCACTGAACAATGCTCACAGCTACAGTTTACTGTAAACTGTGTACAGGTTAAGCATTGACTTTGTTATTGAAGAATGTTGACATAAGGTAATATTAATGGTTGATTGACAATCAGATTGACTGTTGAGTCAGCTAGTCATTGCTGAGCCAGTTAGGCTGTATCACATCAGTCAGTCTTTGCTGTAAACATTCTCTCAAGTTTTCTTCTTCTTTTACAGAAAACTTTTTAATTTCATACAGTCTAATAACTTCCCTATGATTTATGGAAACAAAAACTTCACCATAAATATAATACCTATGTTTTGTATATTTTTTTGTCAGAAAGGAAATGTTTCCCTGTATACAAGGCTCTCGTTTCTATAATTAGTAACATTTTGTTAAAACATGTTTTATGCTGTTTACTTAGTTTTTTGGGGATGAGTTTTTGCTATTTTGAACAAATGATATATGCAGTATTTTCTAATTCACACCAATATTTCAAACATTCATTAATGTATGTGAAAGTTTCCAGTATTATGTTTTGTTTTTAAGATATTTATTGCACAATGTGGTTTTGTTTATTTTTGTTTCATATACTGCCCAGTATATAAGTACCTTTCTTCATTATTTTACTATTACAAGTCCAGGGTATATATGTTGGGAAAGATATGACACAAAAGAGAATGACACTAATCTAGATCCTAATGTTGGTTCCTCTCCTATTAAAGGGCTAAAACACAGGGCTTCTTTCCTACTAGAGGGCCAAAAAACAGAGTTCTTCTTCTGCTAGAGGGCCAAAAACCAGGGTTCCTCTCCTTCTAGAGGGCCAAAAACCAAGGTTCCTCTTCTACTAGAGGGCAAAAACCAAGGTTCCTCTCCTTCTAGAGGGCCAAAAACCAGGGTTCCTCTTCTACTAGAGGGCCAAAAACCAAGGTTCCTCTCCTTCTAGAGGGCCAAAAACCAAGGTTCATCTTCTACTAGAGAGCCAAAAAACAGGGTTCCTCTCCTTCTTGAGGGCCAAAAACCAGGGTTCCTCTCTTTCTAGAGGGCCAAAAAAACAGCGCTCCTCTTGTACTTGAGGGCCAAAAACCAAGGTTCCTCTTCAACTAGAGGGCCAAAAACCAGGGTTCCTCTCCTTCTAGAGGGCCAAAAACCAAGGTTCCTCTTCTACTAGAGGGCCAAAAACCAAGGTTCCTCTCCTTCTAGAGGGCCAAAAACCAGGGTTCCTCTCCTTCTAGATGGCCAAAAACCAAGGTTCCTCTTCTACTAGAGGGCCAAAAACCAGGGTTCCTCTCCTTCTAGAGGGCCAAAAACCAGGGTTCCTCTCCTTCTAGAGGGCCAAAAACCAAGGTTCATCTTCTACTATAGGGCCAAAAACCAGGGTTCCTTTCTTTCTAGAGGGCCAAAAAAACCAGGGCTCCTCTTGTACTTGAGGGCCAAAAAACAGGGTTTCCTCTTCTACTAGAGGGCCAAAAGACTTTCCTACTTGAGGGCCAGAAAACAGGGCTCCTCTCCTTCTAGAGGGCCAAAAAATCAGGGTAGGTTTTGTTCAACCCTTATGATATGTGATATGTATTTGAGGGCTTAATGCAATGTATTTAGGTTTGTAACATAGAATCATGATACAATATTAATTTGAAATTCATCACTTCAGGAACACCTAATACAATATCAGTCACTGTTAACTGGATGTGATACATCTAGGATTATAATGACATTAAAAGCAGACCTTTGCTTTGACACTTTTTAAAAAAAAAAATTCAGTTAGGACCTGAATGACACAATACATACAGTGTTGACAATAGTCACTTTTTTACTTAGCATCATTTATGGTGCTTCATGAGTGTCAAAACTACATAGATATACTTTACATGGAACATAGTCTAGTGATATGGAAACAGAGTATAGTGATATGATATAAGTATGCAGTACGCATAAAAATGGAAACAAAGAATAGTTATATACGTATACAGTACATTTAAAAATTGAAACAGAGTATGGTGATTTATATTGAGTATAAAGCACATTTAAAGATACAAAAATAGTATAGTGATATACATATAGTATACAGTACACACAAAAATGGAAACAGAGTATAGAGATATACATGGAGTATACAGTACATTTAAAACTTGAAACAGAGTATAGTCATATACATAGATTATACAGTACACACAAAAATTGAAACAGAGTATAGAGATATACATAGAGTATACAGTACATTTGAAGATAGAGTAAACAGTACATTTTAGAATAGAAACTGAATATAGTGATTTACATAGGGTATAAAGTACACTTTCTTCTTTATCAGAAATTGCTAGAAGAGATATTTGAATATATTTTACATAATCAATGTGTCGCCTGTCCTGTAATTTGCTAGGAGAGAATCGGGGGAGATTTTACATTATCATTGTGTCACCTGTCCTGTAATATGCTGTAATAGGCACCAGGCTGGTTTTCACATGTTTGAAATTATTATCTGTTTATACCAGGCTTGTCTGACTGTTCATCTATCATCAATATGGTAATCTCCCGCAAAGTGATGGAAGATCAAGGTTAACATCATTGTATCACTTGTTTCTGATGTCTGTTACAGGTGACAAACAGCTGACATTAGTTTTGTATTCAATTGTATTTCCAGACATGTTGGATTGGCAGTATGTTAAAAACTTTATTGATTTGCTGCAAGATTTATATCATTTCAACATCACAAATATAACATCAGATTAGCATTTAATGTTTCATCTGTCATTTTGATACTACAGAGGGCATGTCTAGGTTATTTTGTCAACCCTCAATATCATTTCCTACCAATGCTGTTAGATTTACTATTTTGTGTCATTTAAATTTAACACAAGAACTTCACTTTTTCAGCTTGTTATTGTAATGACCTTAAAATTGCTATATGATCAGGTGTTTTTCCAACTTGTTGTTTAATTAACAAGAAATGCTGTAAAGCTAGTATATTTTTTTTCAGTCTGTTGTTTAGTTTCGTAGAAACACTGATTATTTTTGCTATTTATTTTTGTAATTTCCTTGAAAGTCTGTATGGCTAGATTCCTTCACAGCCTGTCATTGTAACTTCCTTGAAAGTCTGTATGGCTAGAGTTTTTTACAGCCTGTCATTGCAATTTACTTTAAAGTCTGTATGGCTAGGGTTTTTTACAGCCTGTCATTGCAATTTACTTTAAAGTCTGTATGGCTAGATTCCTTCACAGCCTGTCATTGTAACTTCCTTGAAAGTCTGTATGGCTAGAGTTTTTTACAGCCTGTCATTGCAATTTACTTTAAAGTCTGTATGGCTAGGGTTTTTTACAGCCTGTCATTGCAATTTACTTTAAAGTCTGTATGGCGAGGGTTTTTTACAGCTTGTCATTGTAATTTCCTTGAAAGTCTGTATGACTATGTTCTTAGTAGAGCCTGTTATCATAATTTCTTAGAAATGCTGTATGGCTAGTGTTTTTGTACAGTCTGTTGTAGTTTCCAGTAGATGCTGTAAAGCTGGCCTCTACAGTGTACAAATGTTGCTAGTCAATGGTAAGATTGTTAAGTAAGTAGATCACAACCCATGATGGTCTGTGATGTAGACAAAGTATTTTACATATTATATTTACATATTTGAAATAATGTTTATGCTGCAATAAGCCCAGGGAGTCAACACCAAACCCCTGACTTTAAGTAGTAGGTGAGTGGTGTGAGGGATGGGGCTTATTGAAGGATAAGATTAAATGATTTGTTGGCATTTCTACTGAAACTTCATCATATTAGGCATTGGCTTATTGTCAGATAATAATGGTTAATTCATTTTTAATTTTTTCATGTTGTATAAAAATATAATAACAAAATGTGATTGTACTGGTAGTTACAATGGTTATGAACTGGTCGTTACAATTGTTATCTGTGTCTGTTTTAATTTTTAAACAAGATTTAATTTTACTTAAAGGCAGACAGAGGAATAAAAAAACAATCAGCCTTTTTTTTATCTGAATTGTGAACTGTTGGCATAAAAGCTCTAGTTATGCCATTTATGTTGAGTAAAAGAATCAAATTTCTGATTCACAGAATTTATTAATTTGCTAACATCAGTTACAAAAAGGTTTTTTACACATGTCCATATAATATGAAATCTTGCTCAAGAAATAGGATAAGGTTATATCAAATACTGGTTGTATGCTTAGAAAATCAATGATTCACACAAAAAAAATGTTGTATGTTAACGCAAAATAACTGGTTCACAGAAAAAGTAATCTTCCTATATCTAGAAAGAGATAACTTGTTCACTGCAGAAGTGTTTTATAGAATGGAAGTCCTTATAACAGAGCCAGTAGAGACATCAGACAAATAACCAGTTTAGAGAGCACCAACACTGATGTATATAGTGTACGAGATAGAAAGGATTCAACTAACACTACGTACGTCAGTGCTGGTATGCTCCACACTGGTCATTTGTCTGATGACGATGATAGTGTAGATCTCGTACACGATGTATGTCAGTGCTAGTATGCTCCACACTGGTCATTTGTCTGATGACAGTGACAGTGTAGATCTCGTACACGACGTATGTCAGTGCTGGTATGCTCCACACTGGTCATTTGTCTGATGACAGTGACAGTGTAGATCTCGTACACAACATACATCAGTGCTGGTATGCTCCACACTGGTCATTTGTTTGATGACGGTGACAGTGTAGTTAGTGAAACATCACACTCTAATCTTCTACTGGTTGTGTTATAAGATGAAGATGATCGTGTAGTCATTGAAACATCACACTCTAATCTTATACTGGTTGTGTTATAAGAACTTCTATTTTATTGATATTACCAACCAGAAGACCAAAATAGAAGTGTCTTATGCCACAGTTCTTTGAGTAATGCCTACTGCAAAGTTCCCTCCTTTTACAGAGA